AGACTCTGAAGGTGACGAAGAAGAAGAAAGAGGCGCATCCAAAAAAAGCCTAGCCAAAAAAATCGAAAGTTTACTCCACGAAGGTGTTCCAGATATATACGAAAAATTGACATTATACATGGAAAAAGTCAAACAGAATATGAATGATTTAGTACCAAAAGCCATAACGTATTATATCATAAAGAAAGTGGTAAACTACATCAGCCACGATGTTATTTTCCATGTAACTGCTATTCCGTACGACGAATATGTAAGTAATGCTTGTTTTTATTTTTATTTAATTTAATCAATGGAAAATATTCAATTCTTAGCCAAAACTTCTTAAACTGGATGGAATGGATGAAGCCAAATATGTGGCAGCGTCAAAAATGCTTGAGGCATGTAAAGTAGCCCTTACAGGAATTCGTATGTATCTGATTTTACTTTCCAGCTATTAAATTAGACGAACTAATTTACATTTTTAAATCAAACAGATAATTTGTACGAGCAGACAAATGCATTTGGCACCCAAGCTGGAAACAAAAGCCGAAATTGAATGAAATTCGTTCATGGTATTTATTTATTTTTTTCTGAAAAATTCAACTAACGAACAAAAACTTATTTTTTTATCAATTTTCCTTTTCCGTTAGAATAATGGAACTAAGCGACTCGTTATGGACCGCGAATCAAAAACACCGCATACCGAGTTTTACAAAAAAGCTCAATTTTATAGTTTTTAAGCCACTACAACTTTTTAAACATCTTTTTAATTACATTTCCACTTTAATTGATGATGATGATCACATGCATTGAATTGAAGTCGGACTATTTTCATAATCATTTATTCATTGATGTATTTTTGAATTGAACTTTGCAGAAGAGAGTCTCTACAATTACGGTTGAAATGAAAAAATACAATGCCATTCACCAAGCCGGCAAATAATAAGAAAAACGTTAAAAAAAATTAAATCAACCAAAATATCAGTTAAAATTAGTATAAAAATGAGATGTTTCGACGTCAACTCCTTTAATAAATAAAGATTATCTGATAATTTTTTATCTTTATAACTATGAAAATAACAAAAAGATCAAATTTTTCTCAATAAAATTAAAATTTCACATATTTCTTGTAATCATTTTTTTATCAGCCCAAATATCGTGTTGCCGTTCAAAAAACATGTTACAGTTGAAAGCTAAAAAATCATACATTTTCATGCAAGCTAAAACTGAGATTTTTAAAGAAAATAACAGACTCGGATCATTTTTTGTATTTTCAATAAAGTGTTTAAATTTTCCTCGTAGTGATGAGAATTGTCAATTCCAAAACAAATCGAACCGTTCCATATTCCACCCAATTTCAATGAGTAAATGTCAAACACATCAACAACGTACATACACATAGGCAAGTACATACATTGTTTGATAGATTTCTATAGACGCGCATTTTTCGCAAACAGCATGACACATTTTGAACGAAATAGAGAAAGAGAGAGAGAGGAAAGGAGAACCATAGAGCGAGAAAGAGAATGAAGAGTCGCGTGTGCGATATTCATTTTTCGACGCGATTGTGTATTTCAGAACAATAAGTGTATGGGAATGTTGAAATAGACTGACAGAGCGTCAAGTACTTACATTTCCAATGCATAATAAATGAATGCGACATCCACGATAAATAACACACGCTATAGCAACGTATATCACAACTAACATAACAATTATTGTGTGTTTTTTTTTTTTTTTTGTATTAGAACGGTGTTGATGAACCATTGACGTCACATCTATCGTTCGTTCTCTCGTCACAATAATGCTCTCTACCGTACACCGTGTGGATAGAAAATTGCAAAAGGGAAAAAACAACACTGAAAAATCTCGGCTTAGCAGCACGTTTCGCACGTACTTAGCAGTTTATTACGCGATCCTATAAATAAAACACATCGAAATGACTTACTCATCCTCACATTCTTTCAATTTTGGGCAAATGAATAAAATGGGGGGAAAACATGGTCGTTGTTGGTTATTTTTTTTTCATAATAAAAGTGAATTTATTTCAAAAATTTCCTTTTACTTGCAAATCAATGATATACATGAAAAAAAAAACGGAAAAATTCTTTGCCAAAAGATGTTTAGCGTTGGTTGCTGCATTAAAAACATCCTTCTTGTCTCCCTTATCCAAAATGTTGTTTGTTTTTCTAATATATATATACTATATTTAATATGTATATGTGTGTTTTGTTTGTTGTCATTCATTTCCATTTCTTCGACTACGGGCACTATAGTGAATTTCCTTCATGTGGCTGATTTGCTCTCTCTGGAGCATTGTAGAATCGGTCATTGTTGAATATGCTTTTATGATTGGATACTAAATTACATGCTAATACGTCTTGTGTTTCCAGGTTAAATAAATTGTATTTGATGTTGTATGTGGTGATCATGTTCAGCTTTTTTTCTTTCTATCATGCTCTATCATCTACAGTTCTTTCTCTCTCACTATCTGTCTCAATGTTTGAATGATTTTTTAGAATCTAGATGCTAATTCAAAAATAAAATTTACAGAAAATTCTGTTTTTCACAAGAAAAAAAATGTATTCTAATTACTTCTTTTTTTTCATCGTTTTAAGTAGATGTTTGTTTGTTGTTTTTCTTTAAGAAAACGAATTGGTCCATTTTTTCGGTTCAGATTTATTTTTCAATGATTTTTCTATCAAAAATTATGCTCTGTTTTCGTTCAGTTTTATTTTTCGAGGTTGATTTTATAATTTTAATTTTACAAAACGCGGGCGAATAAAGCACAAGTGCTATCAAAGATAACATAGAAAAAAATATACCCCTTTCCACACTTGGTGTGCCGGAAAAGTAATAGTTAGAAGAAAATAAAGACAATGGAATTGAAACTGAAAAAAAATGTGTATCAAAGACAAAGAAATAGTCCTTTCTATTTTGGTTAACGACGTCGATGCTACGCGCCTTTTTGTATCAAATTGAAAGGATCGTATTTTACCATCAACATTTTGGTGAATTTATTATTAGTTTTTTTTTCTTCATATGTTTCAATGCCAGATTATAGAATCGTGTGCTTAATTCGGCCTATTGTAATTGCTTATTGATCAATGTTATCGATCGAGCTATTGTACTTGATTTCCCATGTGTACGTGGAATATTGTGTTAAACGTATAAAATAACACCACCATTTCTTTTCTTTTTTCTGGAGATGATAAAACAAGAAAATGAAACTAAATATAAGTTTACTTTTAAAATGCGGCATTTTGCAACAGATTTTTATCTTTTCGAATTCATCTTTTCGAAAAATAAAAAAAGAGGAAAACTTTTTCATTTTTTTTGTTTCTTTTCTTTTTTTTTTTTGGCTAAAATAAATGTCTAAAAATGTGGTGCTCTCTGTGGAGCATTGTGTGTGTTTGTGTTTCAATCGTTCATCAAAATTCATTATCTCCACAAAAAATGCAGTTGTGGCACCCATTCAAACCAAACTCAATCACGCGGCGCGGTCACACACTTTAATCTTTTTCACTTTCTCTCAGATACCAATCAAAAAAAAATATTGTAAACACAACAACAAAAAAAAATCACTTATGCTCCAATCTCTAGAATCATCAAAATTAGATTAATAATAATTATTTTTTTTGCTTGATTTTTTCGCCATTTTTTCGGTCTAACATAGTTTAGATTTTCTTACAAAAAAAAAATTCTTTTTTTTATCATCTCTCGTTTTTTGTTTCTTTTTTTTAAATTTTAATAAGTTTGTATTAAAATTTCATTCTATGTTCTATTTGCGATGTTTGTGTTCCTATTGTATTGATTTGCTGTTTGCATCGGTGAATTTATGCTGATTTCTCTTATTTACTTAGATTAAATTCATTGATTTTCTTACAAAATCTATTTAAATGTGTGTGTGTGCTTTCCTTTCGGTCTCTGTGGCTCACACCCCAATGTAAAATGTATAATTTTTTTTCTATTCTTGATAGTGTGTGTGTGTATGGTATGTGACAAAAAGAAAAAAAATATTCTAATTGTATTGAAAAATGATTTATATGTTTCTTCTCTCATTTATATACTATATATCATCTTGGTTTTGTTGTTTTTTTTTGCGTGTACTTTGCGCTTATTTAAATTGATTTCATTTTCAGATTGAATTTTGTTCACCGGTTATTCTAAATATTCTCTTTTAAACCTTATCAAAATACACTTTTTGTTGTTTTAGAAATGATGATGATGTTATTGTTAGTATTCATTTTGTAAATTTTTTTGTTGTTGCTGTTTTTTTTTGTTATTATTGTTGCGGCTGCACTTGAGTAAACTAAATTTAACTTAAATCTAATTCGTCTTGCATTGATTCGGGTTGTTCATGAGGACCAAGGATACCAGGCACCGACATCTGTTGTAGCCTCTTTGTATTTTGTGCATTTTTCAATTCCTCTTCACGTTCAGCCAAATACAAATCGGAATCATCATCGCCAGTTATTTCCTGTGCATTCGAAAAAAAAGGTAAAATGTTAATGAAGGAAACATAAATGGTAAAATGTTCGATTTCGAATGGAGAAAGTGGCGGATCGTAAAGCAACTTACTCGAATTTGAATGAGGAAATCTCGTAAATGTTCTTTGAATGCGGACACTTCTTGGTCCAAATTGAAGAGGCCGGTTACAAACACTTTAATTTGGTTATCGGTCAAATGGTTAAATGCAGATTTCAGCAGCGATGCAACATATTCTTGGATATAGATTGTATTGTCTGGAATTGGGCCGAGATTGACGGTAATTTTACCCGTTTCGACCAATGTAAACATGTAAGCCAAAATTTGAGCATGCAATTGCAAACCAGCTGTATGCGATGTATCTGTAGCTACCGAAAATATTTGTGTCAAAATATCCGTGAAGTATGTTTGATAAAAGCCTTGTGCTGCTGACGGTGAACTCTGTTCAATGTTTGTGAGCATCTGTAAAATGTAAAATCATATCGTTACTAAAACGTCACAAAAGAAAAACATTCATTGCAAATGGATACGTACGACATATAAAATTTGCAATCCCATATCGGCAACATTGCGCATCGTATGCTTGAATGCCCACACAATTGAATCGAATACCAATTTAAATTGGGCTGGCGGTATATTTAAAAATGCATCAAAACAATGTGCATTCACTTGTTGTAACAGTTCATAGAATGCCACCCGATGTTGTGGATAGTCTTCGAAATTTTTCTTAATCATGTCAAGCGTACATTCGAATACAGCGTCGAAAATTTGCGGTATTTCTGATGTGATGCTGACTTTTAGTTTACCAACAATGGCTGCCATTGTGCTCAGTACTTTAGCTTCACGTGCTTCGGGCACCTTGCATCGCTGATAATCAAGCAAAACAGCATCAAGCAATGGCGGTATAAAACTATCAATGACAACATTATTGTCATTTGATCGTACCACCCATTCGGAAATCAATGTAAGTGTTTCTTTTTTCACCACATGCATTGCCTTAATCAGTGGCTGATTGTTGACGGCAACACCATTCACCGTGATCGCTTGAATAATGTTCTCCGACATGATTTTGTACACATTCAACATATCCAAGTAGATGCGACCCAATTGCAGGACAAACGAATGGCCGAGCGCCTTGCATGCACGAACATTTGTTCGCAAAATGCTTCCCAATTGCTTGACGGCTGCCATATTTTTCAGGTAATCTACATTCTTCGATGCTTGCGATATGATTTCGTCCCACACTTGATTCGGCAACGCCATATACTTTTCGATCAATGCATCTTTGGCCGCTTGATCCACTTGAGCTGATATCATACATCCAACGGCTTCATAGAATGTGTGCACCTAACAAAAGAAAAAAAAGAAATGTGTCATGTCAAGAGGAATATAAAAAAAACAAAGGGCCATGAGAAATGTACCTGTTGTGGTTGCAAATCACAAATGATTGAGCTCATGGACGCCAGAATTTCATCGATGAATGTGCACGCTTCGTTTGGTTGCATGGTGACAAAATGTCGTCGACATTTTTGTGCAATTTTAATGAATGTATCGCATGCCATATCTTGTACACCATCGTGTGTTTCGTGCATAAATTCAAACAATTTATTAACGACGGTTTTCAAGAATTTCCAATGAGCGCGCAAAAATCGTGGATACTGTCCGACCACATACATAATATTCGATGCAACAATCGCTTTATTATCTTTGCCTTTCTTTTGTTCGCACAAACCGAGCAAATCTTTGATAACCGTGACCAAAAAGCGTTTTTCATCCTCTTCCAAGAATGCACCCGAAATTGAACCGATCGCCCAACACAGCGTATTGAGATTTTTCCATGAGAATTCGGTGCCATTCACTTGATTGTTCAATTTTTCGGTCATTATGTGTTCGGTGTCTGCATAATCTAAATGTGTTAAATAGACCAATGTTTCGCGCATATTTTTGTACAAATTGATGGCATTCGTATCTTTCATAAATTCGCGAACAACTTCACCATTTTCATTTTCGACGACCAACACTTCTTCCGGTTTTGCCATGCGAGAGATCATAATATATCGAACTTTCGATAAAATATCGGAATAGAATTGTCGTCGGCTATTCGATGCGCCGCTCCAGAGTGAAATGCCACCACTGGGCGCCAATGCAACGGAATCTTGGTATAAGTCACTAGCCAAACTGTTCCAATATTCCAGGCAAATTTTGAAAATTTCCACATCTTCCACCTCGGAAATCATGACCAAATACATGAGTGCTTTTTTCAATGCTTCAGCCGTTTCGGCACCTTCAACCAATGCACCGTGCTCCTTTAAAAATGTGCTCAGAAATACGGCCAAATTTTGGATAAAATTTTGCTCCGCATCCGAACCAGTGGCGTACACTTGATTCATATTCGTTCCCGGATGAATCATTTGCTCGAATTGTGACATCGTCTTTTTGAACATATCGGTGAATATGTTATTGTAGTTCGGCACAGTAAGACCAGCAATTTCAGACAGGCATAACAATGACACATTCCGGAACATTGGTACGTTTAGAAATTTGAATATCAACGTCTCGACGAGCGTCGTTTCGAAAATGTAACCAAGCGGAATCCAATTCAAAAATCGCAACAATGTTTCCAATGTGACGGCAATTAGTGGTGCATTCATTGAACCCTCCAGCACGAATGAGCACAATTGGAATATTTGTGAAAATTCTGAGCACATTGTATCTTTCAGATGTTTGGCTTTTGTTTGTGTTATTTGTCCCGAACTGAAATCGAACACTTCTTCGCTCAGCAATTTTAAAATGACCATATTGTTTTGACACAAACTTTCATTTGTTTTCGATGCACCAACAATGTCACCGATGAATGTTTCCCAATTTTTCGGCCATTCACGCTTCAAAATCTCCACCAAAATCATATTGAGCTTGTTCAAGTAGACTTTATTCGTTTCCATAACAGCTGGATCGGATGATGTTTTTATAATTAAGCCTACAACATATTTTTTAATGCCTTCGCATTGATTACGCGGCAATATCTTCCAGCGCGTTTTTATCACTTCTTCAAGAATTTGCAGGGCATAGTATTTGGTTTGTTGATTTGATGAATATTCTAAAATACTATCTACACGCGTCCACGCATCCGGATGCTCTTTGAGTGTGGTCAGCACATCTTGTGCCAATCGCAACTGTTCACCTTGGCTTACATACACCGAACCAACTATATTATCGAGCAAACCGATATCCAATTTTTGACTGAAGTCAAGCAATTTGCTCGCTTCCTCCATATTCACTTGGGTTGTCATCGTAGTTGTTGTTTTTCAATTTCAAGTTTGAAAGAAAAAAAACCAATCGCACTCGCACACACACACAAATTATTATTAGCACGTTGCTACTAACGATGTTATTGTTGTTGTTTTTTTTATTGTTTTTGCTGCAGTTCTGGCTTCTTCTTTTCGTTTTCCCTCTTTGGACCGCTTTGATCTGCTCTATGCGAAGAATAATTGAAATTGGTTCGATTAAACGATTCCGTTTTGCTTATTGTCTATCGTAAAATGGATTGGATGGGTTTTCTTATTTGTTTGTTCAAGAGGCGCGAGATGATTCGCAGAACAAAAAAAAATTTCGCTACTCGCACGTGTGTGTTTGTTCGAGATGTTGCACGAAATGATGAAATATGTGTTTTAACGATAATCGGATGAAATAGCTTAATATGCTTAAACGAAAATTATTATCACTACAAACTAGATTCACTCTTTCACACACAAGATATTTTCGTTCAACCAATAAAAATTTTCGAATACGTTGTTGATTTTTTTTTTGTTGCTATTGTTGTTGAAGTTCGAGCAAATCAAAAATATTTATTGATGTACGCAAAATTCCTTCACTCACAAAAAATTCATAAATCTGAAACGAGAATTCGGAAGAATAAAAAAAATAGAAGAGAGAAAAGGTGAAAAAAATTACTGTAATGCTAATGTTATTGTGTTTGTTGAAATTTGACGTTTTCCATGCGATGAAAAAAAGTGTATCCTACTCAAACCACAAGAAATGAAAAAAAAGCGCTCCATTGTTCAATTTACTGTTAAACGAACACATTTAGCAGTTGGCAGCAGCAGAAAATAACGGAGTTTTCAATGCAAAAAAAAAAAACAAAAAAAAAATTCGGCGAAAATTTGATTTTTTTTTTCTCTTCTTAATTCGTCGTGTGAAAAATAGGGTAAATTGAAAAATTATACAATTCAATTAGTAATTGAGAGCACATTCTACGCGATAAAATGAAAGAAGTAAAAATACTCTACTTTGTTCGACAGAAACAAAACCTAACCTTTCCAGACGTAAATCCACTTAGACAACACTGTGAGTGAGTTTTTTTATGTCATTTTGCATAGGACGCAAAAAAAATTCGAACACACTTCATGTAGGAAAACAGAACTTACTGGCATGAAATTGTTTAAGCACGCGTCGTGTCGAAAATATTTTCAAAATCAATATGGACACTTTGAAATGTTGCTGGTTAAATTTTTGGGGGAAAAAAATTAAACTTTTTCGAACGAAATGTGAAATGAATTTTCGTATTTGTGTAACATTTCGTCTTCTTCACTATCACACGCTTTAATGACGACCCGCGTACAAATGGAGCGAAAGAGCAACGCGAATGTGTGTAGTGAGTGTGTGCATTAAAAACGTACGTTATGTACGCAAAAAGAAGAACACACAGCAGCTGAAGCTGTAGTAGAAACGAATACGATGAAGAAGAAGAAGAAGAAGTAGAAGAGCACCAGAGCAAATATATATATTAAAATATATTGAAAACGACGTATTTTTTTGATGGCCAATTTTCACTGCTAAACCCGTACGATTCACATGAAATTCACTATCAGCGCTTACCAATCCAATTCCATTTACATTTGCAATTGAATTTTATCAAAATTAACGAATAATTCAGATGAAAAATGAAAAATAACAAAATTTCTTTTTCGACTCACTTCTTTTCAAAAGCATTCACACACACAACTGCACGATACACACCGAAGTTGGTCGCACATCTGCTTCGCACATCATTTATATTCTCACATCGTTTCATTGTGTTACCGTTTCGTTTCAGATGTTTCGCTTTTCGATTTGACAACTGCCATTTTTACCGTTTTGTTTTCGATGGAATTGGACAGATGGCACTATGTGATCCCGCTCTTTTTATTGAGTGGAATTTTTTGCTCTCTTTATTTGTTGGACATTTTTTGTTTGTCTATTTGAATTAAACGGTCAATGTTTATGGATTACTTGAAATCGGATACGAATTTTTTTACAAAGAGATTACTTTTTTTAATAATTATATGATCGATTTGATTTTCATCTTTTCCATTTTTATATGCATCACAAAGGCAAATACCTACCCTTCATTAAAATAATTTCCGTATGAAACTACACTTTTTTCATTTGTTCATGATTTTTGATGATTTTGAAGAATTTTTGATTATTTCAGGTTTTCGATTAAAAGAGTTTTATGGTATTAATTTCATTTTATAAACACATGATATGAGAGAAAATGCAGCATTTCCAATTAAAGTATTGATATTTGACTGGCCAACAGTTCAAAAGAACAATAAGTACAAAAGAACAAAACGTATGATCTGCATAATGACAATAATAAAGAAAAAGACGAGTAATTAATACGCAGTATTTTTGAAATATCGGTTAAGCAATTTTGTTGATATGTAAATCGGTTCAATTTAATGTTTGTTTCTGTATACGCAAAGAGGTGACCATTCTTGATGTGTGAACTTTGACAAATATTTGAAAAAATAGCAAACGAATAACGTATTTTGAAAAATGTGTATTCAAAAATAGATTCCACAAAAAAAATAAAGAGTCTAAAGAGACGAACTTTTCCGCACGGTGGTAGTTGCGTATTTTATTGAGAAAGTTCAAAATAATATTTGCTCGATTCTTCAAGTCTTTCAAGTGGCGTAAAGTTCGAGACCAAAAAATATGTTTCAACTTTGGCAACGAAATATTCTTTAATTTAATAGCAGAAGTACCCGAGAAAAGATTTTTCACACTTTCATGATGAACCCATTTGTACGACATTTGAAAGTATTCTATTTTCTAACAAAACACTATAAAAAATATGTCAGACGTTAATTTTGCCATAAAAATTATTTTTGAAATACTTTTCATAACTAAAGTCACAACAAATTTGGATTTTTGTATGGGAGCCATGTCTGTATGCTACCTTAATGGCGTGAAACTTTGCACAGGTTATTTTTTTCACAAATGAATCGCTTATAATAAAAGTAGTGAATGAGAAAAAGTGAAAATAAAAGTCGAACATAAATTTTTTTTTATATAGACAAAATCCATACAAAAAAAACTTTATGTTCGACTTTTATTTTCACTTTTTCTCATTCACTACTTTTATTCTAAGCGGTTCAAATAACATTCGGAGGGTTTGGAGAAATTTCAACCAAAATCAAGAGTACCTCCCATACAAAATATTCGTTTTTGAGCCAATTGAAAATTTTGTATGGGAGGTACCCCTAATTTTAATTGAAATCTCTTCAAATTTTCAGAATGTTATACTTTTGTGTAAAAAATAGTCTGTGCAAAGTTTCACGTCATTAAGGTAGCATACAGGCATGGCTCCCATACAAAAATCCAAATTTTTTGTGATTTTTTCAAGGAAACTGTATTAAAAATTGATTGTATCTCAAAACTAACGTCGGATTCGGTTTTCTCGTGCCAAAAAACCCCCCAATACATATTTTTGAGTGTTTAAGTCTACATTAACTATGACTTTTGGACGAAAATTGGACTCTTTTTCATAGGTATCACTCCAGGCATGGAATTTTTTTCCATCAACCAAAGTCGCTCAAAATCTGATGATTTCTATTCCTGGGGACCCCCAATCATCCCGTGAAGTCAGATTTCGAATAACTTTTCTGGGTGGTGAGAAAATCGATGGACAAATTTTGCGTACGGCGGACAACGTACGACGTGGAAGCGACCCACAACAACCATGCTCAAAACGGCCTGATTCGGGTTCTCTGACCTCAGAAACGTCCAGAAAACATGTTTTTGAAGTTTCGTAAATTTTGACCTATTGCAATACTTTCCCCTTTCACACTAGGTGTGTGCGGAAAAGTAAAATGTAGATCGGTTCTATAGAATGCCTTAAAAACACAAATAAATACTTAACAACCAGTTTTTTTTTAAGTAGAAATGGCAATTGTGCGAATTTATTTCGGTTAAGTTCCGTTTTTTCTTTGTTTTGATCAAACACAGAACTTATTGAGAAAGAGAGAGAAAAATAATAAAGTATATACTATACAGTGACATAAATTCGATAAACACACATTTGTTTTTTTCTTCTATACATAGAACTTATCAATGATATCTTCATATTTTTTCGTTACGACATTACGCTTAACCTTAAGTGTTGGACCCAATTCACCGGTTGGTATGGAGAAGTCAGATGGCAAAATTGTAAACTTCTGGATCTTTTGTGCATTTGATGTTGCATGTTTGTTGGCACGACTAATGCCGTCATTTATCGCAGCGTAAACCTGGTTAAGAAATTTCAGAGAAAATTGGGTCAGAGATAAGTACGTATGAGATAAGATAAGATATGACATTTAGAATAGTCAAAATCATAAAAAAATTATTCATATACACATAGAGTTGGTGAACACGTGCTATTCAGTTAACGATCGAAATAAAAGGGGTTTTATTAATTTACCTTTGGACATGGTCCAGCTTCTAGAACTTCACTCAATAATTTATAATCAACACCTAACGTTTTGAACCAGGTGAGTGTGTCTGGCGCCAGTTCATCCTTTGGAGCACCAGTTTCTAGATCGATTTCAGTCTGTGAAAAGCGCAATAAAATGTGATGAGTTTATTTAATGAGTAAATTTATCAAATCACAAAAATACCTTAAGAGTTACAAGCATTGTAAGAAATTTGCGTTTGTCACCGACGAGGAATGCATTACTGAGTGCTGGCAATTCTTTTTTAACCAATTGTTCAACATGAATTGGTGGTATGTTCTCACCGCCGGCCGTGATGATCAATTCCTTAATCCGTCCGGTGATATACACCAGACCATTTTGATCGATATAACCCAAATCGCCTGAATGTAACCACCCTTCGTCATCAATAGCTTCAGTTGTTTTGTCAACTTCATTAATGTATCCCATAAAAACATGTCGTCCCCGCATGCATACCTCACCATGGCCATTTTCGTCTTTGTTTACGATCAATGTTTCGACGCCGGGCAATGGTTTGCCAACGGTTGTCAAATTGAAATTGTCCGCTGTCGAAACACAATGTGCACCGCCCGATTCTGACATGCCAAATGCTTCAAACATTGGTAAATCTAAGCTCATAAAATATTGTTTGATCTCTGGTGACATTGGTGCGGCGGCTGTAATCAATAATTTACACTGATTCAAACCGAGTGCACTCTTTACTTTTGACAAAATGAAATTCTTTGCAATTTTATATTGAAGTGATTGTGCATCTTTTCCATCAATTGCTTCTTGCCAATGTTGTAGTGTTACACTTTTTGCCCATGTGCTTATCAATTTTTTGATGCCAGTTATTTGTGATCCAATGGCCGTCATTTTTTCATAGATTTTTTCATAAACACGCGGCACACCAACAAAACGCGTTGGATTTGCTTCTTGAAGAGTTTTCACTAGAGAACCTTTCAGAGCGTCTTTGTCGGCAAAGTAAACGGTGGCCACATAATTTATCGCAATGAAAATATCAATCATTTGAGCGGCAATATGACTGAGCGGTAAATATGATATCAAATTTTCGCCACCAACAACCATATTTGTTAAACAATTGGCCACTGCATTTGCACTCCATGTTACATTGTCATGACTTAACATCACACCTTTTGGATTTCCAACGGTTCCGGACTACAACGAAACAACAAAAAAGGTGTCATTTAAGTTGAAGGCGAAAGTTGATCAGGGGATTAGAACACATACCGTATACACCAAAACACAGCAATCGTTCGAATGAATATTTTCCATACGTTTTTCCAATTCTTCTTCGGCGCCAGTCAAATCCATTTCTTGAATCTCTGACCACTGTGTGAATTTGAACAAAACAAAAAATTAATTAAAACATCAAAAAACGTCAAAATGTGATCATTTTTACATACCCGATAATACCCATCTTCTCGTTTAACATATGGTTCGTATGGTCCATACAATTGAACGGCTGCTTTCAGATTTGGCAGACGATGTTTAATTTCTTTAATTTTGTCCATTTGTTTGGTGTCATCAACGACGACAATGTTTGCATTTGAGCTATGAAGTACGTGATAAACAGCTTCTGCCGAATTTGTCGTATACACACCAGCCGCAAATCCACTGGTAAACAATAAAAAAAAAATAGAATAAATATCATAAAACTAAAACCATCGGCGCTTCACTTACCCAGCATGAATCGCACCCAATTCGGAATAAAACCATTCGGGTGAATTAAATGCCAAAATAGCGACTGTGTTTTTTGGTTCTAAGCCTAATTTGATGAATACTTTGGCGGTTTTTAAGACATTTTCACGATATTGACTGTATGTAACCGTATCCCAAGTACCCTCAGCATTTTTATGTTTCAATGCGGCCACATCGGGATAATTTTTGGCCGTTCGATACAAAACATATGGTAATGTGAGCGGTTCTTGGGCTGCAACGCCTTCGGTGCCAACTCGCAGTTTAACTGCATCATCACGTTTTGTTGTGCTAAATTCGGATGCTGGTCGCACTTTGGTGATTACCTCCTTTGCCATTTTTTCTTCTTCTGGATTATTCACACGATGCGAATTTTACGCTGTCAGAACGAAAAAAAAAATCGAAAATAATTAGTTATTAGATAACGAAGAGGTAAAAATACGATGACTTTTTTTAAGGGAAAAAAATTGTCAAATTAATGTTCATTTCAAACTATGAATAAGAAATGAAGGTCAAACTTGAAATGTACAATCGACGATCGAGATTGTTGTTGCGTAGCATTGCTATTATCAGTTGCGGGAAAAATACGCGAAACGACTTTAGCAAAATACGAAAAGCACACACTTGATATTTCAAAACATGTTACACTCATCATTCGGGTTCAAGTGAATCGTGACAAGTTTTACTCGAGACTGTGAATAAACTTTGAAATCTGTTTTTTCGACCTTATTACTACTTTTTAATTCTTTTATACTTTGTTTAGGATAAATACGTCGTAAAAATCACCAAAAACACAGTATTATCTTTCAAATCATTTATTTGTAGAGTAGCTCTTATCAACTATTTTTGATAAAAAAAAAAACAAAATCGATGACCCGTTTGGAAGCTGGTATAAACCACTCACATAGTAGCTTATTTCAAAAAATGAGCCAGCCGGCTAGCCAGTAAGATCACACATTGATCGACATAATTCTATTACATTTTTTCATATGATTGTTGTGTTTGCAATGTCAATGTTTACAACCTTTATTTGATTGTTTTGCATAATTGTAATAAAATGTAATCGATGCGATATTTTTAACGATTTGTTATGTATACCGTAGTCGTCAGACTTTTTGATTGATAAAATGCGCTCGTGCACAAATGACGCTCTTTCTATTTTCTAATCAGAAAGTCAATCAATCAATGTATATTCAACTTTAAAGCGGAAATATTGTGAAATCTATTTAATATTGATTACGGCGAATTATTTCAAACGATGTGACATTTACGGTTTGGTCTCTTGGAAAACAAATGAATCAGCGATTTGAACACACATGGTTATATGGAATCCAATTAAATAAACTCGACCGAAGATTTTTGAAATATTTTTCAATTGTCGTCTAATTATTGGCAATTTAAAAAAAAACCAAATTTATTCACATGCACTTTCGATCCGTTCAATTTAATTCTTAAAAAAAAAAAAATATTCCACACAAAGCTATATGCGTATAATTAATTAACTGTAAGTTTACTATGTTGATGCGGTCACTCACTCCTTTTTTTAATGTTTCGAAGTGTGTTTTTTTTGCTTCGAATGCAAATAGTATTGAATTTTAATTGCTGATTCAACGACGGTGTACTACAGATAGATGGTTGAATTGTGTTTGAGCTTGACGAAATAAGTTTTGATTAAATGCGACCGATCGCAACGACAGTTTAAGCTGATCTGATTTTTTAATTACTACGTATTTTAAACGCAACGGTAACGAATTTTTATGAAACAAACACACAAAAGCATACACACATTTAAGGGCGATTGTGGCTAACGCTTTTCTTTGCCCTATCGAATTGTTTTTTATCACTTTTACACAATCTTATCGAAGAGTTACGTGCGTTTAGGTCACACATTCAATGCATGCATTCCCACAGTCACAGCAACAGGCATAGACATGGTGAAAGAAATGTGCTACGGCGTTTTTTTAGTGTGCATAGCAATGGGCTATCGATTCCAAGATTTGAACTTGTTGAACGTTGAGCAAAAAACACGCCACATCTTTTCGAAGAGTTTTTGTTGGATTTCTTATCAATACAACATTGAGTTTGTGTGCTGCAAGTGAAAGAGAATTACACATTGAATTAGACATTCAAAGTCAACCGGAAAAGAATGCATATTTATTTGAGAGTTTCGTTGATTTTTCTACAGAGATTAAAAGAACGAAAGAAAAGGGAAAAATTGTTTCGGTGTTAAAAAAAATATGGTTCTCAGATTAAGAAAATATTTGTTCGAAGAAAAACTGTCTACTCTTTTTGTGTATCTCTTCTATCTCTCTTAATATAATCATTTTCGACACTTTTTCTGATAAAAATATGTATTTTCAAGTTTATGGCTCGAAAAAAATGTGATAAATGACGTTCGAATTATAGGTGTTTGAAGTTATCTCGCCATCGATAACCAATTTACAGAAGATGACGTTTCGATTCGTTGTAGAACGCGATCGGTGTGAAAGAATTAGAGATCGATCGTCTCGAGATCGATCGTCGAACAATCAAAACATTTGATAACACTTTAAATATGCACCCAATTAGTTCGAAACGAGCAAGTGCACTTGAGTCTTGATGGCAAATTGATTAGATCGATTGTTTGTTCTACATACGTGAATGCGCTTGAATAAGATGACCTTATTTATATACTTTGTGATTCAAGTCCAGTTATTGCTGTCGCACATTGACAGATAGTGTGCAAAATTGGCAAATTTCTATTCATTGGTGCTCATTATCGTGCCGACACCAAACGTCTTTTAAGATTAAATGGAATTGCGTAATTTCAGACGCACAACGGAATATTCCGGCGATTCAATTTTAGAAAGTTTTTTTTGTGATTTAGATACGATATCACTGTATAGATTGTTTCCATTATTAACTCAAGTAATATATTTAAAAAAAAATATGCTTTTCAAAGACAAGCAGTTGAACTTCTGCAATATAAAAGAGAAATGCGAAAACGATGAACGTAGAGTGTCATTTTCTTCATCGTTCTTTGTTTTGGCTTCGGTTTTTCTTTTCGAACGAAAAAGAAAACCGACTGCCGATTGAAGTGGGTCCGAATTTCCCATGAAAATTTGCACGAAAAAATCGACGCATTGGACATTGAGCTTTGGACGAACTCATTCACTGTTTGTGTTTATAATTGTTTGTTTACAAACCACTTAAAATCAAACGCCTGCGAATCTGAAAGGCACTCAAGAGAAATTTATTGGAATAACGAAAAAAAAAGTCACCGTGAAAAATATACGAGAAAATTGTGCAGAAAAAAATGTGAGACACACGCAGTCAAAACAAGCACAATGACAGCGAAGAATTTAACCACACCGACGATACTCGACACGTTGAAATGTATTGTATTTTGGTAATTTCGAAATTTTATCAAAGCCCATTTTTAATGAACGATTCATGTGTGTGAATACTAATGTGATTGTCATTGTCGATGGTCAGATTGTTGTTGTTGTTATTTTCTCGTTTCTTCCACTCTCGACATTTATTTTTCATCAGTCTTGCGTCTTTTCGAATAGTAGGCAATTTGGACGCACGATAAAGCTAAAAATAATACTACAAAAAACTACATAAATGGACTTAAACAGCCGAAGAAGATATTGACCCAAGCGAAATCGCACTGTGAGAAAGTATGTTATGGTTTTCGAATCCGATTAACGCATGAATGACCATAGGTTTCGCATTCGACATTTTAATCAACTCGAGATATTTTGTATCTTGGTAAGACATTTACTCAGCGATCATTCACAGAAATCTCTGAATGCGAAAGAGAAAATATTGAAGAAACTGCGCACTGTACCCGTTGTAGTCGATACGAAGAGGAGAAAAAATAAGACTGTTTAACGCCTCTCACATAAAAATAAATGAGTTCTTTATACCGGCAATATCGTCACATACACACACACTCACATCTCGTACCGAAATATAAATAAATAGAGAGCCGAAAGTCAGACAGAGAATGGCAAAGCGTCGAATCGTGAATTCTCAAAGGAAGGTTGTGGCTGTGCGTAGCAAGACGAGCCCATGTGCATAATGTTTTTTCATCTATAGATATAATTCACACGTCAAAACACGGCGCACAGGCACACATTTTGAACGTTATACGACGATGATGATTTTTGTTTGTTTGCTGTTGTTGTTGTTATTTCATTTTTAATTTGCAAAGCAAACTGAATGAGAAAAATAAGGTCAGATTTTTTTATATTATTTTTAGATAGATTCTTTGAAAATAAAGTAAATGATCGAATTTTAGCGAAGAGAATCATGGACCCATGCAGTATAATTTCGAATTTTAATTTGAATGGTTGCAATGCTTCTTGCCAATATTAATGATCGAAAACAATTAGTGCGTACAATATTGATGAAATGAAGTGAAATATAGGTTTGTAAAGAAATCATTCAAATGTTTTGCAAAGAGTTAGAGAAGTAGAAAAAAGGCGGAAGATTGCTGGGCTCATTGTATTTAATTCGATGTTAGAATGAAAACGAGTAACTAAAAACGTCTATTAAATGATATGTAATTTAGTGTCATTTCTCGGTTTAAGGTTTTTTCGAAAAAAGAAAAAAAATTCCTATATCACTAAACTTATTATTTTACTTATCGTATGACAATCGATGACTTGCTTAATCAAATCAGATTTTTCACTGTGAACACAACAATGCAAATGAATGTGTTGTCATTTTGTACTTTGATTTCTCGAAGCGAAAAAAAATTTACCGTTTGACATTGAAACCGCGTGCCTCGAAATATAATAAACGTTTACCCGATTCGTTCTTGATCGCCTATAATTGCTCAATTTCTTATCAATGCAAATAGATTTCTTTTGGTAACAGCGGAAAATTTTCTCTTCGATTTTTTCATAAATTTATTGATCAATGCATTTGATCGTGACACTTTTGAAATGGAAACGAAAATTGTCACACTTCGTATGGAAGCCGAAAAAAAAAAACCAACTGATTAGCGTAAGTGTATGATTATGATATGATTCTTATGCGAATTTAATGGGCACATTGCAAACTGACTCTGCACATGCACAATTGCAACACATGCAACAATCTCTCAATGTTTTGTGTTCTTGTTATTTCAACTAAATTGAAATGTGGATTTACCGTTTTAAAAATTTTTTACTGTGAGACACAACACACATACACAAACACAATTCAAACGAAAAAAAAATCTGAATGTTTTACTATTTACATCAAATTAGAAACGAACGAACGAAAAAAAATCCCTCCGTTTGATTGATAAATGTTTATCAGAAGTAATATGAGAGCGCAGCACACTTGTTATCCGTCAAAGTTCCGTCGACCAACTGACGCTTGTTTCGAACTGTGAAATGTTTGTGTTTCGACGAAAAAAAACCGCATGAACAAGAACAACAACAAACGACTCGTATAAATCGAGTTTGAACAGACACATGAATAAAACAGAAAAAATCCAAGAAATTCTAACAATGTGTGTGCAGTGTGCACGCAAAACTGAATATACAACGATATAACTCTCTCTCTCTGTGTGTGTCTGTGTGTGTACCACACATCTCTCACAAAATTATTTGCATTTTACGTTTTTCGATTCACCGCCAACTGACTGAAATTCGATTGAAATATTCAGTTTTTCGCGCTCCACTTTTACACCGTTCTCTTTCTCTCAACGACAACAGTGTTTACATTGCAACCCATTGCGACCATGATTATACGTATGTGTTGTTGATTTTTCTGTCCCTGTCTTAATCCACCACGTGTCGATTATACTGTTTTAACCTTTGTGTGTCACACGACTTCGCATCGAAATCACGCCACTATGCGCGATGTGACGAATACGAATTGATATGAAGGCAAAGCGGCGAGAAAATACGATGAAATAAAACGTAAAAACGAACAGAAAAACAGAGAGAACAAAAAAAAACATGTAAATAAATTGTTGTTGGAAATAATAATAGTGAGCGAAAAAAAATGTGTGCGGTATTTGTATATCGCCACTATGGACTCGATTGCATTTTGTACAATGACCACCGCATTTTATGCTTCAACGGTTACACATACACACTTTTTTCCTTTTTTTTGTGCTGAAATCAAGCGATATTGTTTTAAACTTGAACTTGAAGAAACTGGAACTATTGGACTTGGTCTCGTTCTTGGAAGGCGCATAAATGTGTTTATATACATTGGCCTGTCCGCAAATCCGGCCAATTAAATACGGACTGAAAAGCAAGGTGAATTTTGTTCAAAGATTACACTTACGAATTAATAAAATAATAATTTCAATGCAAGATGATTTGACAGCGAGCACTAGCTTGACAAATGTTACACAAATTGTTTTTTTTTTGCTTGCACTTCATGCATATACAATTTTGTTGCTTTTTTAACGTTCATAAAAATTTAAACGAATTTAAAAATAAACATACACCTTATTGATAATATTTTACGTGTATTTTCAATAAATATATTTAAATTATTTATTTATTTTTTTTTTACTAAAACTATAAAACAAAAACACCAATTGCTTTGAAGACGATTAAGATACGAAAGAAATTGTTGTTGTAGTTGATACTTAAATAGATTGAACGATTGTTTCACTAAAACACCTGTGCGTGAACTAAACCGATGAACATTTTGTTTCTAGTTCGAATAACAGTGTTGAGCGTCATTCGTTCCATTTGAGTTTAACCAACTCTCACCAATGAAATCGACGAGCATAAACGAGACAACCACACAATCATTCACATCGAATATCACGTCATAGAAAGCGAGACACCATACACTGATTACCAACACCATTGCAAAATGTGTTAAACTAATCGCACTAAATAATTGCACACACCGTCATTGTGCCAGCTCTTTTGTCGTTGATTTTTTTTTCTTTCTTCCTTCTTTTCTTCTCTCGAATATTATTATTCGGATGTTATTGTTGTTGCGTTTTTGCGCGGGTGCCTTTTTAATTGAATAACTCTCGTTCATATTTGCTAGGTTTATTATTTCCGTGAATACAGTAAAAAAAAGGCCGATTGCATGCGATTCTATTGCACACTTTACAGAGATCTCTCTTTCTCTATAATTTGTTGATGTTTTTATTTTTTGGTTTTATTTTATAGTTTATTTGGCTGAGTTTTGTATTGAAACAAAAGAAATTAGGCAACTGTGCTACCACTGTGGAGATCGTCAATTGATTATATAATCAAGATAAGATATATCCTCAGTAAATAAACAAAACAGCCGGCGATGAATCATGAATTATGTTATGAAGTAAATAAGTCAAAAAGTGACTTGTATATTAAGAATGCGTATATCTTGAATGTAATCGTCTACTTGGATTGATCAGAATCATGCAATTGGAGTAAGTCAGCCCAGATTTTCACAACAAAACTCGGTCTAAAAATCACTCGCTTCAGACACCTTGATAATACAAGAAAAAACAGATTTCGCCCGGATCTTTTTAGAATTTTCGTCGATTTTGTTATATTTTGTGTGACAAATATAGGTGAGGTTATGTTACCACTTTATTTCGAAACTTATTTACCTTGTTTATTATTTTCAAATATTTTGGACATTAAATCGTCTAAACTGAATCGTGAATTTGAGTGACATTACTTATTTATTTTTTTTTTGATTTTTATAAAAATGAATTTCGCTTGCATTTTTACGAGTACCTTAATCCAAGTTTTCCTTATATTTTTTGAAAAAAAAAAAAAAATCGTAAAGATTCGGATCGCTCTGAAAAAAATCGGGCATGCTGAATTTGAAGCAGATTTGAGCATAAATATCTCTTCGTTTATATACGTGCGAAAAAATGAGGTAAAGTTAACATGATCCCATATAATCTCGCTGTCCGTCTTGCATTCCCGAACATTCGATAAGAAAATGTGGGAAAAATCAACTTTATATTGATTTTGATATCCTTTCATTTGAAAATAAGAGAGCCAAAACATTATGTAACACTCTGTCTGTCAACTACTGAAAACTAACCAAAGGAAATTGACAAAGAGCAAGCAAACATAAAAACTTATGAATGAGCTTCGCGATTTAAATCGTCGAATTTCTGAACATCACGCGATCGCAACACATTGGTGTCATTTCAAATAATCTTTGAATGACATTTCAAATTATCTCAAAATCTCAGCGTAGTGTTGTGGTAAATATTTGCATGTGTTCAGCGTAATTTTGCATCATTCATTGCAAATACTATGGTGTTTTTGTTATGAAATATTATACAGTAAAACGATAAACACTGACGTACACAGTATATGCACAATAGTAATAATTTCTCATTCATTACTTAAAGCCCATTAGTATTATTGTTACTATCGGCGGTACATATCAACAATATCCATTACATATTATCGTAATTTTAATGATAAGTCGTGCGCATAACCGAAAATTGCTCGCAGGCATGCAACTATACTTTATCGATATTTGGTGTCAATTTGACGAATATACTGCATCTAGTTCAGTTGCCTCTTTAAATTTAACATTCGCGGCAACCCACACATCAATTCGGTCACATTTACTCTCTTTCTCTTTCTCTCATTCGAGCTTCGTTCACTTTTATCTATGGTTATGTTCGCGTTGAACCTGTACCCTCACGGCATTGCAATCATTCCAATGGTTTTGACTTTATTCGGACAAAAACCCGCATCATTAAAATATGCATTGATGATTCATTGAAGAAATGGTCAACGATTGTGATGCGGTTTACCAATTCAATATGCTGTTTATTTAATATCAACATGCAATTAAAACATGGAAACATACTTATAATTCCTGTTCGGTGATGTATTGATTTTGATATGGAAATTAGTTGAAATACATATAAATAACATTCCAAATTATAAACATCAAAACGTACTTGCGTATACGTAAATCCCAAGGGTCAATGACGATGTTTGGCGAATGGAACTTTTTCGACGACTAATTGCGTGGGCAAAGCCGAAGAAGTTTTTAATTAGTTGCGATCGTACGATTCGTTTTTCCTTGCATTTCATTCGATTGTTCGCGAATCAACACTTGTAGAAAATATGTACTGACACCAATACATAGGATTCGGCCGACGAGTGAACCAATTCACGCACTTGCATGACGTGCGCACGTTTCAGTATCGAAGAATTTTTTTGTCTAAATAAAACTAAAATGTTTTTTTGGCTTGTTTGTGAGTAGAATTCGGTGAATTATAATGAAACAGACAGAACACTTGTGAAGACCAAAACAAGCTCTAACACGGCATTGAAAGTGTATTCGTTGTATTATTTCACCACGTCATCATCGTACGATTTATCACAATCAAAAGCATTACGCAATTCTCTGAGTAATTGTTTACGTTTTTTTCGCTCAGGTGAAATAAACTTTCCAACGACAGACGAACAGTGACGTAAAGGTCAAATGTGCAAAGACAAAAATAATTTTATTATCGTTGTTTGCAAAACGGTTGTTTTATTTCATATTTGTTTCATGCATAGAAATACAACTTTTTTTGTATTTTTCGTCTGTAGTTCAAGTCAATTGAAATGGAGATTTTTTCAGTTTTATATTTTTTTAAAAATCCTCAAGTAAACTTAAGTATTCATTATGTGATATTGTACAAAAGTGTCCATTTGTGGTTAACGGCACATTTTGTTCCATTCGTAAATATGGCATGGAAATTTGTGTGTGTGGTGTCTATAGCTAAAAGTATTGATGTGTGAGGGCAACAAATCTCAATTAATGACAATAACGTTCTTTCGCTTTGACACATAACTTGTGTGTGCTTAACTTACTGCACTTAAACACAATCATCATCCATAAATTGATGAATAATATGTTTGATACGTGATTTTCGGTTAAATGAACTGCTTCACAGCCTACACATTTATTCAATAATTCATTCGATTTACGAATGGGCTTTGGTCGCACATCTATGAATCACAAACAATTCTCTGGGCCAGCAATTGTTTTTTTAAGAGTGCTTTCGCTACAAATCCATTGACATTTGTCGTCATTAACATCAAACCGCCACAATGTCATTGGCGTTATTCAATTAAAGTCCCGGTGTCTGTTCCTCATCAATGCATGTGTGTTTTTTTAACTCTCGTTCGACACGCTCCAAAATAAATCCATCTTCATTTGGTCGCATTAAGATGAGTTTTAACCGGCAATTGAAATAATAGATCGACCTAATGGGTCAAAATTCAAAATATTACCATTTCTTCCTGTATATGTAGCCGATTCTCTCACACCAAAATGTGGAGACATTCATTGTCGCCGTTGAATGAATGCACCGCACGCATATTACGTGTATATGCCTCTTTCTCTTGCTCTCTGTACCGTTTTACTGTTTACGTTTTATTAATTCAAAGGCATGCGCAAAATAAAATATTCGGTCTTTCGATTTAGTTACGCGCTCGTTCTTCACTGAACGTGTTCTTATTATCCCAAGGAATAGGGAATTGGATGGGAAACCGTTTTTAGTTTCTTCTTTTTTTGAAAAACGACGAGCTTCAATTGAAACGCTCCGGAACAAATCCACTCAGTTTGTGATTTGAATCTCAAGCAAACGGTTGCACCTCGATATTTTTTAAAATTCAATTGCCGTTTGGTTGCAAACAGTTTTTTCGTAATAATGTTAAAGTAAATTGTTTTGGAAATAGTGGAAATTTCTGTATCTTTTCTATATATATAAATTATTTCGGGCGAAAGTGATTTTTTTTTTCAAATTCAATTTTAAAACATCGAAAATATGTCTTCAGGTGATTTAGAGGGAGCAAACAGTCCATCATTGTCTAATGGTGACAAATCAAATGGTGGCACCTTTTCCGATTGTGATCAAACCGATGAGAATTTAATAAGCAGCCCAACGGTTAGTGATTCAATAAAAAGTGATCGAAAAACATTCGGATGGTTTGGTTATCAACCAAAATGCCTACAACATTTACTCTCGGCGAAATGGGCGCTGTTTTGGATGTGCTGGGCGGGTGCACTGCAGGGTTTGTTATTAAAAATATTTCATGATTTGCGGAGACTGCTTCCCAGAGCAATATATGTAAGCAGGAGCTCTCTGAGGAACCAAGAGAGAGCACTGAAGAGCAACATATTAAAAGTAAAAAAAAATAATTAAAATTGATAATATTGTGGTCCTCTGGCTCCACCTCACATGAATTGCTCTGAGAAACAGTCTCCAATAATTTGTAAATTTCCAAAAGACGTTTTTATTATAATATGTGACTAAAGAAAACATTTCAACGGTTCTTTACTTTTGCCGTCTCAATTTCGATTTCATACATCGAGAGTGAGAAAAATTAAGTCAGGTATTTATGTTCAAAAAAGTTGTTTATGTGTGATCTCAGAATTAAAATTCATGTTAACTACTAATGATGTGCCCAGTCACGTCAGAATAATATTCTCAAAAGCATTGAAAAATTCCGAATGAAGATCCGGCCAAACAAAAGATCTGATTATTCATTCGAGACAAGCCCGTCAATTTGCTTTCATCTAAAAAAAAAAACTACTATCGTCATCTTGATGAAAAATATGAAATAAATAGTTGTGCTCACGCAATCGCTGAACAGATTAATTATGATCCTGTCTCCATTCAAATGCATTTATTTTCAAAAGAATCGGTTTTTGTTTCAAAAGTAATAGAATGACGAGAAAAAAAATTTGTCAAAGTACATTTCTATGTAAAACATTCATGCATGAAGGCTTGCCAAGTGATGCGTGAAAAATCTAATAGTTCCATTAAAGTTACATTTTTTTTACATTATTCAATACAAATAATATAGATTTATTGGATTTGAAATGAAAATTCACGCAACACATGCAATCTACTTTCAAACATGAAAAATGGTTGCTTCTATTGGCGTTCCACACATAACACACCAAAATGAGAAAAAAAAGGAATAGCGGTCACTGTTGCAATCATAAATAATGTGCATTTGACACATTGCCATTCCGATAACCTACAGAGAAAGCACACCTTTCGAACACCGTGCACCGGATGGACTTTAATTGAAAAACTACATATATAAGGTGTTTTCGGAATGAAAAATGAAAAGAAAAGCGATGAAAAGTGTCCACCGTCGGAAATTGAAAACTCAAATATAGAATAAATTAGAAATTGTCATTACGGTAAAAAGCAATTTCAAGTTCAAGGTGTATGGCTTGACGTGAGTATGTGTGACCTTTTCTTTTGTGGCCATTGTACTCCATGAACGGAAACATTGATAAAGACCATTTATCGACATTGTATACAATGGTATTATCAACACACACATATATATACAATAATAAATCATCGATTTTTGGTGTTCAATTCATTCGATGCACTTATGCAAATATGCAATTGTACGCTGCTGAAGAGCGTACTTCCCACCCTCATTCTCATTTCGAAATGCCAAACCCACTCGATTTCGACAATTTTATGACAAACGGTCATTTGATACTTGTTTCATAATCAAGTGCACAAGGAGATGAATGGTACAATTATCACAGAATTATTTATGCTATCTTCAGACAAACATATAGCAAAATACAATTACGAATCACGAAACTCAAACCCCAACAAAGCATATCGCATGAGTCACATGGATTTGTTTAACAAAATATCGTTTAAACGGTCGTTTTGCCGTTGGCTATGTTATTTAATGCATGCGATAGAATCTAGCATTTGGCAGTGCTGTCGGTGCAAAGGACTCGGAACAAGACAGAAAAGGAAAAAGTTAAACTACTACTGATAAAAATCCCAACTTACTGAAAATAAGATGAAAAATAGATGCATTTTCGAGTATGGAATTGAGACGTCAAATTATAAACATGACACAGAATGGAGGGGGTGGGTGAAATGAATCAGTTTGTTTACTATTTTCGTGCTACAGTACATATTGTCTAATGTTATCAAACAAAGAAAAAAAAACCACTGGCAACATAATTTATCCCTCGATATCTGTGAATGTCAATCATGTCATTTGCCTTGGATGTGTGGTTAGTTATGCGATTCATATCAAGCATACTCTATTCACATTGCTTTGTTTTGTAATTTCATGTTTTAGATTGTTCAATGAAATTTGCGCGATAAGACAGAGTTTAACGGAGGAACAGAAAAAAAATTTTTTTTTGCTCACCAGAAAAGGTCATTTTCCATTGTTATTCTTTTTTTTATAGGGTTACTCGTTAACGGATGCATCAATGTTGTAATCACGACCATCGAGAAACGTTATGGTCTACGTTCGTCACAAACAGGTTTAGTTGCAAGTGGCTATGACATAGCATCGTTCGTTTGTTTGGTTCCGGTTACATATTTTGGCGGCAGAAAAAATGCATCAAAACCAAAATGGATTGGATTGGGTATGAATTGGAGTTGGCATCAATTGAATGATAATAATAAATAACGATTAGTACAATAATACTCCAATTCCGAATGAATTGAAAATAATATTTATTGTTTATAGGTATGATAATGATGGGACTGGGTTCAATGGTCTTTTCATTACCACATTTTTTGGTCGGTTCATATAGAGCAACAAGTGTCGAAACTAACGTTTGTCTCACCGAAGCCAATGTAAATACGGTGAGTTTATTTGCTTTTCTTCATAGAGATCCCCAACGTTGATATGTTGTGAGTTATCACGAGTCAGTAGAAAAATAACAAGGAAAGAACAAAAAAAACCAACATCAAACTGCTGAGCGAACAAAAACCCAGTATCGACTATGATTTCTTTTGAATATTTCTATTTATTGACTGACGTGAACAAGGATGGCATATCGAAGTTCAAAGTGACAAAAGATTGAGTTTAAAATAACAACACTTTGGATAAAAGTCTTTCAAACTGAGTGCTGTTCAATGATGGGTAGGAGAGCACTTGAAGATGCAGTGATAGTTTTTCTGCCAAAGCGAGAAAAAATCGATTACCTTGAATTCAATAATAATAACGAAAAAAAAATTGGCGACAAATACGCTTTCCCTTCATGCTCAGCACAAGCACATACAATACATGTGTCAGGGTGAAGAAATTGAAATTGACGGGGCCACAATATGAGTGAATAGAATTTATTAAGCACATAGTCGATTTACGGTTAAACGTGCATTGTTTGTGACTCATGACGCCGGATACTTTTTTTGTTCGTTCGTTCTCCAAGCAACATTGTAAAATGCATTCTACCCACACTTTTATCAATCTCTTCCAAAAACTCTTGCCCGAACGTTCAACAAAAGAAAACAATATGAGGCGTTGATTTAAAAAAATAAACATTTCACCCGATTTCTTTTTATCATCATTTCGGTGTTGATTGAATACACTTCATCCTGTTTGGCTGTGTTGCCATCAAATTTCATTAAATGAAATACTTATGATTTAGCACTGAATTTTCCAGCATTTTTTTTTTTTTTGGTGGGTGGAGAAGAAGAGCGATGATATTAAATTTGATGCGACACAATTCAATTTCTTCCTGAAACGAAAGCAAATTGAGCCATAGAAACGGGTGCGCATTTCTTTCCATTTATACGAATTCACAAGGAATCAAACAACCAATTCAACGTGAAATTGGGTATTTAATTTCGACTCAAATTTCGCTCGCTACTATGTGACCATTAACCTTTCGATACACTAAATATATTTATTTACATGAAAGAATTTTTAAAAAAATTGCTGTTCTATAGACGTGCACAGATAAATTGATAAACGCCAACGATGATCTGTCATGGAATGTTTGGTTTTTTTTCTTGGCTCAACTTTTGCACGGTGCTGGCGCAGGTATTTATTTTACAATATTGACGTTGTTGGTGATTCTTTTGACCAAAAAAAATTATTTTTATTCGGTTTTTTTTTTCAGCGCCACTTTTTACACTTGGCGTTACCTTTATCGATGAAAATGTCTCAAAGAAAATGTCATCAGTGTATTTGGGTGAGTAGCAAACCATAAACTGTTTCGCAGAGCAAAATGTGTGACGAGGAGTGCTCCTAGAAGCCATTTTTTTAAATTTTCCTTTTTTCAACTCTGCTCCTCACATTTATTGCTCTTTTTTGTCTTTGTGGCGAACAGAAACAGTTACAAATTCAGCATTGTCGTTCTACATATTTTTTACCCCATTCGTCTCATTAATGCGTAGGCACATTTCTATGCGAAATCGATTTCAAATTGAATTTATTTGTTTACTTATGGAAAGCCTTAAAATTTCGTGTATATCGCTACATCGCAAACAATAGACCCGATCAGCAATTATTATCTTTATTATATTTACAAAACGACAAAGACAATGTGCAATTTCTTTCCTTTCACTAGAAAAAATACGCGCACATCCGTCCTTCTTTTTCCTTCCACATAATTTATATTGCGTTTTGTGCGCGTCGGAGGGTTCGAGCTATAAGCGGAAATAAATCATATAATGTTTACAAAGCAATTGTGTTTAATTGGTTAAGTGGGCGAGAAAGAGAAGTACCGAATGAATTTCCGTGGAAAACGCACATTTACTTTCGTTCACATGAGCAAACATGCTCCATAGTTCTTCGACCTCGTTTTTATTGTTCATTTTCCTTGGAAAATATGCAAAAATATCTAATAATTTATTCTATTTGTGGAGCATTTCTGTTGGGTTAATATGCGTTTCTTGCTATGAAAATCGAAATGATTTATTTGCACATTTGGTTGATGTAGTATGGTGAAGCTGAAGCCCAAACATCCGATTTATAAATCATAACGGATCTACTATATTTGAAATATATTTATTTTCAGGTATTTATTACACTATGACAATAATTGGTCCTGCTGTGGGTTATGTTGTTGGCGGACAACTATTGCAAATATACACCGATTTCTTGACAGTGGATCCTTTGACGTAAGAAAATCATTTTTATTTATTTCTACCTAAGCTCCAGTTTATCCACCTTCCGGAGATAAATAAAGTAGCATTAAGAGTATTCTACATGTACATTGTACATGCATAGAGAGAGAGAAGAGAGAGAGGACTATATGATTAGAACCGTAGTGTATATATATTTTTTTTATTATTTAGAACGGTGTCGTTGCTAACTTATGAATGCGATAGGCTAAATGACAAAAATCTGATAAGCAGCACATTTTATTGGCTTCGGTCTCTCTCCCCCTTCGTAAATACTGAAAGAAGCAACAGCAATGCGTTTTTGTGGTTATTCTTTTTTTACAAAGAAGAAACGAAACATCAACAAAAATTCGTCTTCTAAGTCATTCCGTGCAATTACATGGTTATGATGTGTCGACCGACAAAATTGAATTTTATACCATATTAAATGAACGTCACTGAGCTTAGATTGGGTGTTGCTAAACGCATTCCAAAACAATAATAAGAAAAATGGTTCGGAATTTATTTCACTGCGGGGAAACATTTATGTAATGTTCACGACATTTTCACTTGACGGTAGTAGTATATTCGGTGGCGCGGCTGTGACATGATTATTATTAAATCGTTTCCGAAATGCATACCTTCGCCACTTTTTCGGAGCAGAAACAGCATCACCACCTTTTTGGAGCAGAAACAGCAGCAATATCAACGATAACAGTGGTAGCGAAAAAAAATGATGTTAGTCATTTGCGTCGGAAATGCTGCGATGTAATTGGCTTTATAAATATTGTTGACACGGTGAGGAAAGCCAATTTTCTCTCACTCCGTCTCTGGTGTGCTGTTTTTTTTTCTTCGTACAAATTTTCATTTCTCTTCTCCGCTTGCCTCGCATAACCCACCGCCGAATGTCACTGTGTGTGAATCGACTTTCTTCCGATGTTCAGCGGGTAAATTGTAATATCAAAAAAATATTTTCACTGCTCAAAAAATATGATGACGGATTTTTCATAATGTTCGCGCTTGCTTTTTCGTACTTTCTTTTGCTTTCTTCTGCTGTTCTCGAAATAAACGACAATTTACAAGTTGTTTGTTTGTTGATGATCTAGAGCTGCTCACACCACTATGGAGAAACACAAAGTGCACAGTAAAAACAAACGATAAGCACTTTTCGCTTGAGCCATGGCAACAAATAGCATATCCGCGAAGCTTATTCAGAGACATCATCAATTCATTATATTAAAAACATTGAGTTGTGTGCAAGTTCACTGTTATGTTGTATCAACGTAACGATATGTATGATGCTGTTGCTTTAACCGAGAAATAGAATGTGAAACGGAATCCGGTTTCAGGTGTATATTCGGATGGCGAACAAAAAAAGATTGTGACAAACGATTTTCGAGAGTAGTTAAAAAGCCAAATGTTGTGATATCGTGATCAACAGAGCGGATTAATAATGTGCATTTTGCAATGGATGCAACTTTTAAGTCATGCAAACATAATCCTTTTAACAATGTTCTCTTGGCCACCCTTCTTTACCATCTGTTCAACGGATAGGAAATTATTTTCCCATACTCCTTCTCTCTAGCACACACACACACACCGTACACAAATCTTCGTATGGCACAAACAGTTTTGGCGGAAAATGATTCATGAGTTGAACATTGAATAAATATTTTATTACATTTTCATACCTTCTACTGACAGATTCGGATTGACACCCAATAGTAAGGTCTGGATAGGTGCTTGGTGGATTGGATTCGTGTTTATTGCATTAATTTGTTTACTTTTAAGTATACCGATTCTCGCTTATCCATCTTCGTTGCCAGGTAACGTCACAAAACCGAAAATACCGTGACAACAGTTTTGATTATTACCATAACAATCGCTCATGCTCCCAAAAAGCTAACAATACATTATCCCTTGTTTCATTCGTCACATTTCTCTCTCTCTCTCATCCTTTTTCCCTTTTGCACATAGGTTCGGAGAAGTTGCAACAAGTTAAAGTTTCAGGTTTGTTATCATCAAATATTTAGCAAACAAGTTTAAAAATAGCAGGTTCTCAATCTGTGTTAATTTGATGTAATTTTCAGAAGCGCACAATGGCAGCACCCCAAAACAATATTCAAAACTACGTGAAATGCACAAAGCCATATTCGCTCTATTACAAAATCCAACGCTTTTCTTCTTAAATTTAGCCGGAGCCAGCGAAGGGTTGATAATTGCAGGATTCGCGGCATTTTTGCCGAAGCAAATTGAAAATCAATTCAGTGTGACAGCCATTTCGGCTGCTTTAGTTATGGGACTGATTACCGTACCGGCTGGCGGTGGTGGCACATTTTTTGGCGGCTACTTGGTGAAAAAGTTCAATTTGGCTTGTTCGGGAATCATTAAAATGTGTCTAATATCAACGGCGATTGCAACATGTTTTACCGTTTGTTTTTTTATTTCGTGCCCAAATATGCATTTTGCCGGAATAACTGGACCGTATCGAACTCAAGTGGAAACGTATGAAACAAATACAATTCGACCACCACAACATTTTGCCAAACAATTTCATCTGGAAAGTGAATGTAATAGCATGTGCAAATGCAGTCGATCTCATTATGATCCAGTTTGTGGTGTCGATGGAATTATGTATTACTCACCTTGCCATGCAGGATGTTTCAAAGAACTGAATATGGACAATTCCAAAGTTTATCTCGATTGTGAGTGCATTTCGGTACCGAATAAAACACAAGACCGTGGCTATGATGCAATTAATACCATGTGCAATACAAAGTGTAACAATCTGTGGTATTTTGTGAGTTTGTGCTTTTTCGTCATGTTTTTCACATTTCTCAGCACAATGCCAGCGCTATCCGGTACATTAAGGTGAACTTTTTGGATGTTTGTATCAGAGACTGTTTCTCAGGGCAATACATGCGAGGAGGAGTGTTCTGAGCTATTAATATTTTGCTCCTCAGAGCTCTTCTTCTTAGATATACTCCTCTAAGAAACCGTCTCCGGTTTATATAAAAGTAAATTGAAATTTTGACCAGTCGAATCGGAGCAGGAGAACTTTTGCTTGATAAATTCATTTTCTATTTTTTTCTCATTAAAAAAATCTAGATGCGTCCACAGCGAACAGCGTTCATTTGCGTTGGGAATTCAATGGATTGTGGTTCGTGTTTTGGGAACCATTCCAGCTCCGATGATTTTCGGTTCGTTGATCGATGATTCGTGTATTTTATGGCAAGAGTCATGCAATGAGGCCGGTGCATGTCTTGTGTACGATAACAGTAGCTTGAGCAGGTTTATTATTATCATACAACTATCATCAATATATATTTAGCAAACAAGTTAAAAAAATAGCATGTACTCAATCTCTGTTGATTTAATTTTTTTAATTCCAGATACATGTTATATCTCGCTCTTACGGCCAAACTTTGTTCCACTATTTTCTTCTTTGGTGCTTGGATGAGTTACATTCCGCCAAAGCATATTCAACAAAATGACCAAGAATCGAACGAAAACACTCAAGACGAAGCAGAACATGAAGTTATTATTTACAACAATAACCGATCAAACCCAATCGATGACAATGTTTAAACAGCATTCCATAAAAAACTACTCCCTTTTGTTTTGAATTAGATATTAAGAATTTTGATACAATTCACATTTTACTCAGTGCATTCATTCCTCGTTTTATACGCCAAATAGACTTTGATGAGAAAATATACGTAACATTTCATCCAATTTGTAAATTTACATCTCGTACGTACCATTAAGTTTCAATTTACAAACGAATCATAATAAATTAAAAATGAAAATTTTCATTCCAAAAAATCGTGTTTAAATGCATAAAGTTGAAAAATGTAGAACACACAAAAATTCCCGTTAAATTCAAGTTTATCAATGATAAATAGTTTACGGCAACGGGCAACAGATGGCAGTAGCTCTGAGCTTATCAATAATAAAAAATTGAATTTTGTTCAAGAAAGTGTATTCGATTGGTTGGGATGTATTTGTCTATTGCATATGATATGACGTTTCAGAAATAATCTGTATCATCGAATGTATGGATACAAGCACAAAATTCATGTTCGTACGAGTTAGTTCATTAACAGAGAGTCACACAACAAGAAGCACAATACAGATTGTTTCGTTCCTTATGCGAACCATTTTAAGTGAAACAAACAAAAGAAAAAGACATATTTTAAAAGCAAAAAAGAGTATTTAGAGCAGCAACAACAACAACAACAACAACAGCGGTAACTTATAGTTTTGGCGGTAAAAATAAGATTTTTCGTTCAAATTCGATTTTTGTGGCATCAAGAAATAAGCTAAAAGAGAAATTGTCCGAAACTTAATGGAAAATCGTAAAAATAAATGAGTCAAAGTCTGAACATATTGCCGAGCAAAATAGCAACAACTGCACTAGATAAAAAAAGTGAAACCATGAACTATGTTATTGAATTCATAATTAAAATTGACCACGAATTTAATCTATACACACAAAGTATATGAGAATGGTCGATTTTATTGATTTTTTTTTCTATTCTCGTTCTTGTTCCTTTGCCAAAGCGAAATTCATTTTCAAAGCAAACTGTCGCTTTTCATAGTGAAAATGCTGTGCATGTTACTTGTTGTATGTGTGCGTTAATTTGACTCAGGCAAAGGTCGATATAAAAAAACCAGTTTCTTGCGCTCTATCTTTCTCTTTTCTTTCTCTTTTCTTTCTCTTTGAAGCGTCATCAATTACGCCAGTGAAAATCGTATGACCGCCTTTGTTGTCTGCTTCCATCATTCAACAAAAGCTCATGCTCAACATTTTTCACAAAAATCGGTAAGATTTTCCATGATAACTCATCTGATCTGCTCGTTAATTAGACTATCACAATATGTTCACGAAAGATGTAGCACTCAACTATTTGAATGTCAAGACTTCTATCCTGTATCTCATTCAGGTTAATTAATTAAGCATAACCAAATCTCTCTTTGCTGCTTTGGGCGGAAAATCCTCAACTCCTTTCTGGCGCATCGGACACTTTTTAATCCGTAAAGACCGTATCATGTCCCGCCAGAAATATTCATTGAAACCCTGGAATTCCTTCGGTATTGCGGCTTATGCCAACAGAATTAGCATGGTAGATAGCGTAGAAGTACTTTGCCAGTGCTGGCAGCAAAGTGCTCAGCAAAATGAGCCGGTACTGCTGTTGGGCGAAGGGAGTAACGTATTATTTCTGCAGGACTTTGATGGACATGTGCTGATAAATCGTATTAAAGGCATCAGTATTACTGAGAGAGCAAACGCATGGTCATTGCACGTCGGTGCCGGTGAGAACTGGCATCAACTGGTGGAAACCACTCTGAATAGGGGAATCGCTGGCCTGGAGAACCTGGCGTTAATCCCGGGCTGTGCTGGCTCAGCGCCGATTCAAAACATCGGTGCCTACGGCGTTGAGCTGGAACAGGTATGTGAGTATGTAGATATCGTCTATCTCCCTGATGGCACGGGCCAACGTTTAAACGTAGCTGAGTGTCAGTTTGGCTATCGCAACAGCGTGTTTAAAAATCACTACCGTGATGGCTATGCCATTATTGCAGTGGGATTAAGTCTGAAGAAAAACTGGCAGCCAGTACTGAGCTACGGTGATTTGCGCAATCTTGACCCACAGACGGTCACACCGCGACAGGTGTTTGATGCCGTTTGTCGAATGCGCCATAGCAAACTGCCCGATCCTAAAATCAACGGTAATGCGGGCAGTTTCTTCAAAAATCCGCTGGTAAGTGCTACTGTCGCCACGGAACTGAGCATACAGTATCCCGATATGCCACAATACCTACAGGAATGTGGTGATGTGAAGCTGGCCGCTGGCTGGCTGATCGATTGCTGTTCACTGAAAGGATTCCGCCTTGGTGGAGCTGCGGTGCATAAACAGCAGGCGCTGGTGCTGATTAACGCTGGAGCTGCCAGTGGACAGGATATCGTTATTCTGGCGCGTATCGTTCGTCAGCGCGTAGCGGAAAAATTCAATGTATGGCTGGAACCTGAAGTACGCTTTATCGCCGCTCACGGTGAAACGGATGCTGTAGGGGTTATTGAATGAATGACAACACTTTACCGTTAAAGCTGGCCGGGATTTTGGCGGACGGTGAGTTCCATTCTGGTGAGCAACTTGGCAAACAACTGGACATGTACCGAATTCTACCGTAAAATAAATGCTAAATAAGTTTTTTCTCGTGCCAAGAACCCCCAAATACCAGTTTTTATAGCAATCGAATGTAAAACAAATTTACTGCAAAATATCATTACAAAAGTTGAAAGAACTCAATAAATCAAACCAATTTCTAAAAACGTTGACTTTGTCAAGTCTGAATTATGTAAGATCAGTAGTCTAAGTGGCGACCAATAAAGTAAAAGTCTAGCTCATTGCAGTTGGTTAATAAGAAATTAAAACATATATATTTGACAACGTTGTTTGCATAAGTATACACACACGGAAATAATGTATAGATAATTGGTAGAAATAATTTTTTTTCTTAAATCTATACAAAAGTTTAGATATCTCAATAAAAAATTAAAAATTATTTTTTATTAAAAAAATTTTTTTTCAATGTCAATAAATATTGCGATACATATTTATCAACGAGCGCCAAAATACATCATTCAATACAGCCTTTTCTCTTCACAAGAAAGAACAACAACAATTAAATGGCTACACTCGAACGGCGACTATAGAGGATGCGACCACTACTTATGCAAACAACGTGACTTGTTACATTGGAACGGCAACTATATAGAAGTCAACTACTACACACGCATCACTTCTACTGGCGAGTCAGTGGAAGCATGTAAGACACAAACGACAACGTTGTTTGCATAAGTAGTGGTTGCATTCTCTATAGTCGCCGTTCGAGTGTAGCCATGTAATTGTTGTTGTTCTTTCGTGTGAAGAGAAAAGGCTGTATTAAATGATGTATTTTGGCGCTCGTTGATAAATATGTATCGCAATATTTATTGACATTGAGAAAATATTTTTTTAATAAAAAATAAATTTTTGTTGAGATATCTAAACTTTTGTATAGATTTAAGAAAAAAATCATTTCTACCATTAATCTATACATTATTTCCGTGTGTGTAGGTGGGTGCTTAAGAGCGGAATTACAATTGCTAGTAAACCCAAACACAGACCTGCGTCGAAAGTATGAAACATATGAAAGTTTTCCACCAAAAGTGTTGAAATACTGAAATAAGTGGTAACTGTGCAATGTGAACGGTAAGTGATCGGATCTATTAATTATTATGTGGCGATATTTTTCGTCGATAAAGTTCTGACAGCAACAAATCGCAGTTATATAGAACTGAATGATCAGTGATCACTCTATTGGAGAGTGGACTTGAAATAAATTAAGCGACTGGATTTTATTATTCATGGTAACATTATCTCTGTTCCTTTTTCGTCATTCTATGTTTTCAGATAAATTTCGTGAGTTTCGTGTTTGGCGTTGTGTAACGGACCGTACACAAAATAATGAATACAAATAAAATATATAAATCAAACACATACAAATATATGCACACAATTAATATTATACATGCATCAAACACATACATCAGCATAATTCAATATCTACTTTTACAAGCAAATTATTATATTGAAGCCAGTTGCAATATAACGTAACCAAATCAAGTTGTGTTTTAATTCATTGAATTCATAGGTGGTTATTTCTTAACATGTTATTGAATAAATAGCTAAATAATTATGCAGGCGTCATAACGTAAATATCAATGAAAAAACGTTGACGTAGGGAACAAAATAACACAAAATTTAATGCTAAAAATATGTAAAATTTACACAACGTATCTATAATTTATCTAAAACAGTCGAATGAATTCGGGATTACCGCACAATCACCAGAAAATACATTTTCCCGAACGAATTTTTTCCCGAAAATACGATTTCCCGAAAGTTGATTTCCCGAATTTTTTTCCGGAACCGTTTTCCCGAAAATGAAATCCCGAAAAATGTTTTCCCGAATTTTTTTCCAGAATATTGGGTGTGTCAATTAATTTTAAAGGATTTTTGTGTAAAAAGATACATTTATTCAAAAACAACTGTACAATATTTTTTAACCAATGTATTGCCCATCGTTAGCTATGACTTCCGCCCATCTTCTTGGTAACTTGTCGATTCCGCGTCGAAAAAATTCCTCATCTTTTGACGCTATCCATTCATCGATCCATTTTCGCACTCCTTCAGGATTTCGAAACGATATCTCAGACAAGCCCATTTGCATTGATCGAAACAAGTGGTAGTCAGAAGGGGCAAGGTCTGGAGAGTACGGGGGGTGATCAAGCCGATCCCAACCGAACGCCTCTATCTTTTGTTTGACGATGTGTGCCCGATTTGGCTTAGCATTGTCGTCGTGAAACAAAACTCGATGGTGTTTTCTCGCTACCAACGGCCGTTTTTCGTTCAATGCATGCGCCAATTTGTTCAATTGTTGTCGATAGCGTTCAGCTGTAACCGTTTCACCTTGTTTTAGCAGCTCGTAATACACGATACCTTTCTGATCCCACCAAATGCACAGCATAACCTTCTGGCAATGAATGTCTCGTTTTGGCTGTGACGGTCCTGGTTGGCCTGGATCAACATACGCTCCTTTACGTTTTGGGTTATCGTAATAGACCCACTTTTCATCGCCAGTGACAATTCGACTCAAAAAACTATGTCTTTTGTGCTCGGCAAGATGTTATTTGCATGCTGTGATTCGTGCTCTCAATTGATTTTCATTCAGTTGATGTGGTACCCATTTTCCCAACTTTCGAATCTTTCCCATGGCATGCAAACGCACAGAAATGGTTCTTCGGTCGACATTCAACTCCATTGCAAGTTCTTCTTGCGTTCGACATGCATTTTCATCGAATAATGTTTGCAAATCTGCATCTTCAAACTTTTTTGGCTGACCTGGCCGTTCTTTGTCTTCCACGTCGAAATTACCACTTTTAAAGTGTCGAAACCAATACTCACAGGTTGAAATCGATAGAATATGATCACCGTAAGTATCTGAGATCAAACGATGACTTTCAGCAGCACTTTTCTTCGAACTAAAGAAGGAAAGTAAAACTTCCCGCAAATGCTGTTTTTTTGGCACGTAGGCTGACATAAAATTAATTGGCACACCCAATAGCAATGTATTTCGGGAAATATGTTTCGGGAATTATTGCGGTCACCGAATTCGGTTATTAATAAATTTATCGCCCGGTGTGCTTTTTAAAATTTCAAAGTACGTTCCACAATCCAAACCGGTTCAAATAGAAATGGTTTTCCCAAGGGCTACTTCATTTGGATGAAAATATCTCAATACATATTATATAATAACGAACTTAGATCCGTAAGTCTAACGTTTCCGCACTGTTTCCAAATTTCTATCTTCTCCGACCGAATATTGATTTCCCGAATAATTTATGGGAGGAATAACGTTTTTTGGCCAATAAAGAGACTATTGACGTAAAAATAATTCAAGATATGTGATGTGTGCGAATAGGTAAAATGATCCCATCTAGGATCTCATACAAAATTTTCGTTTTTGTATCAAAAATCAAATTTTTGTGTTGCTCTGTTATTCTCTAGACCAAAAACGCGTAAAAAATGATTTTTAAAACTTTCAAATGATTACAATACTTTAGTGCACACTGTGCGGAAAAGTAACAAGTTACTATAAATATAGCAGAACTAGTTATCGGAATTCATTATCGAATAGTATCACTATGTATTGTCATCGTTATTTCTATTCTTTTTTAATCATTTTTCAATGAACACTGTTTAGACGTTTTCGAGCCGTTCCGCGTAAAGAATCTCTTGAAAAAAACCTTTGTATCGTTTTTTTTTTGCTAAAGCTACCAAAAATCGTTTCTTCAATAGTTAAAGTAAAAAACAATGTCGAAATTTGTTATACGTGGTCCTACTCGATTGAGTGGTGTAGTGATGATATCTGGTGCAAAGAATGCAACATTACCAATTTTATTTGCTTCTCTCTTATCGAATCGTCCAGTTGAATTGCAAAATGTTCCGAATAACTTGGACGACGTTAGAATCACCATAAAACTTCTTTCCCAATTTGGTGTAAAAATAAAAAGGTGTAAAAGTTTATTATCCATCGACGCACGTGATATGAAACAATCACATGTGCCAAATAAATTGTTAAAAGCGATGAGAGCTTCTATTTGGATATTGGCACCACTCTTAATTCGTTTCGGCTACGCAGAATTATCATTACCTGGAGGTTGTGCGATTGGTTCACGTCCAATTGACATGCACCTGTCTGGTCTCGAACAACTTGGCGCTAAAATCCAATTTGAAAATGGTGTCATAAAGGCAATTGCATATGATCGTTTAACAGGTGCCAATATTTCAATGGAGAAGGTTAGTGTTGGAGCGACCATAACCACAATGATTGCAGCAACATTAGCGATTGGAACCACTGTTATTGAAAATGCAGCTCGAGAACCGGAAATTGGTGATACGGCATTATTTCTCAATTCAATTGGTGCTAAGATCAGTGGTATTGGAACTAATCGAATTGTCATTAAAGGTGTTAAGCAAATGAATGGTGGAGTATATCGAATAATGCCCGATCGAATTGAAACCGGCACATATTTGGTAGCAGCAGCTGTGAGCTCAGGTAAAATTGTATGCCGTAATACTAAAGCTGACACATTGACCGTGGTTTTGGAAAAGCTGAAGGAAGCCGGAGCTGAAATTGAAATTGGCAATAATTGGATTAGTTTGAATATGCATGGCAAACGACCAAATGCGGTTGATATATGCACAGAACCATATCCAGGATTTCCAACCGATTTACAAGCACCTTTCACATTGCTTAATGTTGTGGGATATGGTACGGGTGTTATTCAGGAAAATATTTTCGAAAATCGTTTCATGCATGCACCAGAATTGATTCGAATGGGCGCACAAATTGAAATAAATAACAAACATTTGGTTTGTAAAAAATTCACAAAATTGTACGGAGCTACAGTTAGATCAACCGATTTACGAGCGGCAGCCACTTTGGTATTGGCAGCATGCATTGCTGATGGTGAAACATTTATTGAATCTATTTTTCATATTGAACGCGGATATGAACGAATCGAGGAAAAAATGAGGAAGTTGGGCGCTGACATTAAACGAATAGGATAAAGAAATTATCGAAAAATTCAAAATTAAATGTACACTTTAATACTAGCTTTAATAGGTAATATTTTGGTTTTTTTTAATGAAAAAATAGTAAACGAAAAAAATAATATATAAAAAATTTGTTTGAGGTATTGTTTGTTTAATTTAATTATAATTCGTTCAAATTTCATGTACAGACTTGATATTGGTGTTGCTTTCATGTTGGGAACTACGAAAGAAGTGTTTTATACTTGTAAAATTTATATTTAGCAAACAAGTTAAAAAAAATAGCATGTACTCAATCTGTGTTAATTTGATGTCATTTTTTTGAAATCCAGAAACATGTTACATCTCGCTCTTACGGCCAAACTTGGATGAGTTACTTGGATGAGTTACATTCCACCGAAGCATATTCAACATTATGACCAAGAATCCAACGAAAACACTCAAGACGAAGCAGAATATGAAGTTATTATTTACAACAATAACCGATCAAACCCAATCGATGACAATATTTAAGCGGCATTCCACTAAAACTACTCTCTTTTATTTTAAATTAAATGTTAAGAATTTTGATACAATTCGCATGTTACTCAGTGCATTCATTCCTCGTTTTATACGCCAAATAGACTTTGATGTGAAAAAATGCGTAACATTTCATCCAATTTGTAAAATTACATCTCGTACGTACCATTAAGTTTCAATTTACAAACGAATCATATTAAATTAAATAATAAAATTTTCATTCGAAAAAATTGTGTTTAAATGCCTAATGAGCCATTCATGGTGAAAATGAAACAAAAATTGTATGAAAATATGCATAAATTATGCATAAAATGAAACGTTTTTGATGTGAAAATCACCAATAATTATGCCTAAACAGTATGTATAGCGTATGCCTGACGTATACATATGAAATCATATGAAATAAACATATTGAAATGATATGCATATCTGATGCATAGCTATATGGATACTCATTATGCATATAAATTTGAAAATGGCTAATTGGGTGCATAAAGTTGAAAAATGTAGAACACACAAAAATTCCCGTTAAATTCAAGTTTATCAATGATGAATAGTTTACGGCACCGGACAACAGATGGCGGTAGCTCTGAGCTTATCAGTCATAAAAAATGAATTTTTCTCAAGAATTGTTCATCGAATATTCGATTTATTGAGGAAAAAACGTTTGCCAGTCGCTATTTCCGCTTTATATTACAACAACAAAGGTAAAATTCACTTTGAAAAGTTCATATCAAGATTTCATCACGCATTCACTCTGGATAAATGTGCTGAACATGATAAATGTCAAATGTCTGAATGTCGCAGAGAGAAAATGACGTTTGATGATATATACAAACAACACACTCACACACACACGTCGAGAAAGTGTATTCGATTGGTTGGGATGTATTTGTCTATTGCATATGATACGACGTTTCAGAAATAATCTGTATCATCGAATGTATGGATACAAGCACAAAATTCATGTTCGTACGAGTTAGTTCATTAACAGAGAGTCACACAATAAGAAGCACAATACAGATTGTTTCGTTTCTTATACGAACAATTTTAAATGAAACAAACAACAGAAAGAAAAAAACATATTTCAACAGCAAAAAAACTATCTAGAGCAACAACAACAACATCAACAGCAGCAGTAACTTATAGTTTTAGCGAGAAAAATAAGATTTTTCATTCAAATTCACTTTTTCTGGCATCAAGAAATATGGTAAAAAAGAAATTGTTTGAAACTTAATGAAAAATACCAAGACAATCGTGAAAATAAGCAAATGTGTAAGTGAATATTTCAGTGGAGAATATGTTAAAAGAGATGTAAAAGAACCAGAAAAAGACAAGGAAAATATCTTGACGAAAGAAAAGAGTTTTATATATATGTGTGTGTGAGAGTGTTCGATACGATGGATTACGGTGATGAGAAAAATTGCGTTTAAAATGAGAAAAAGTGTTTTATAATGATTTGATTGAGATCGTTAAATCAATTTATTTGTTCGGAATGTGTTTATTGTTCCATCAATTTATTGAATGAATTTGTGTATAGTTCATGCGAATGTCTTCACCATTTACTGCGTGAACAAAGCAATCGATAACAGGTCGTCCATTGTTTTATGCCCAAATTACTAATTACATTCTCATTGATTTAATTTCATGCATTAAGTGTCAACGCACTTTATCGATGCTATTAATTTTCGATGTTATTATTGTTTTTATTTTCATCACTTTATTTGGTGGCTTTTTTATGAGTGTGAATGCGTGAAATACCACAGTAGAATTAAACATATTCCAAAATTTTTCTTAGCTCGTCCAATTTCTGTTTGTCTGTTCTACAATTCGGGTGACACACAATTTAAATGCAAACAAAAACACGGAAGACACAAACACGGTCGAGAGATACAAAAAAATGAGCTCATATAAAATATGAATGGAACGAGAGGTACAACAAAATACAAACAACGACCAATCGAAATATTTTCAGTGATTATTTCATTTGGAAGTCTAGAATATGAACGCTATCTATATGTGTGTGGTGACCTATTGATTGGCAAAAGGCGCTTGCTTCGGTCATGACTAATCTCATATTATAATGCTGCATTTATGGCAAAAAAAACAACAACAACAATCATCGAAGGTGTATACGCGAACGAGACAATAGTTGAATTAAAAAATTTCGGAATTATATGCGACTTTATTTGCTCATATCTTGGATTTGTCCAAAAGACTTTCTCTCTGCAGCTGTATGTGCTCTGAGGCACGCGCTTCTCTCAAATGTGTCTATACAAGCGTATTCATTAACACTTGAGTGCGTCTATGTCGTCATCGTCATCGCTTTGTGCATAAATTTATGTTATGAACGGAAAATGTGATCTAAGCCTCTTTCATGTTTCAAAGCAATTCATTAGGCTAATATCTTGACTGATGAGATCCATATGGCTCCCAAAAAAACGGCAATTCCATAATGGGGCATTAGACGGAAAATAATCTCGCCCGATCCACTGAATTTTCCCTTGCCTGGCGTTCTTTTCATTCGGACAAATGAAAGATTACGTATTATTATTATTTTTTTTCGCATGCGAATGCGATTCTTGAACAAAAGAAAATTTCGTATTCGTTTTCCGTCTTGGCACACATTCGAAATATCTTTAAATATCAAAATGAAATCGTCCAATATCATTTTTATTTGTGACGCGTCACAACTGTATCAAATTGTGTTTTGATTTTAAATTGTAAATCATAATTATTTCGAGCAAAAAAAAGTTGCTTCGTTTGAAATGCAGGATTCAAATTGCCTTTTTGTGCATATGAAGTGTGTTGCATGTACATGTACAGTAACGAGCATTTCAATAATTCAAAGTATGACTGCTGCAATTGCTCCAAGTATGAAAGTAAAACGGATTGTTGTTTTTCTCTTCTTCGCTCTCTGTCTCTCTTTGTGATTGAGAATATCTATAAAAAAAAGTCAAGAAAAAGTTTGTTTTTAAAAAAAATAGCATACTTATGTCACACAAAGTTGTTTTTGCTGAATACGGGCGCACACACAGTCCATACACATGCAATTACATTTTATTTTATATTGAATTTAGAGCAGTTGATATTGATTTTTCGTCCGTGTGTTCATTTCATACTTTTTTTCTGGATTCATTGAGCACGGTTGCTTCGTTCGTGCCGCTTGCTACATATATTCTGATTAATGATTCAGTTTCGTGGGGCTGCCCAGTTACATTTTTGTTATTTTTATTGTTCAGCCATTTCCATGCAGATTTCCCATGAATGAATCAAAGTCTGACCATATTGCCGAGCAAAATAACAACAATTGCACAGTAATAGAAAAAAAAAGTGAAACCATGAACTATATTACTGAATTCATGATTAAAATTGACCACGAATTTAATCTATACACACAAAGAATATGAAAAAGGTCGATTTTATTGATTATTTTTTTTTTCTCGTTCTTGTTCCTTTGCTTAAAGTGAAATTCATTTTTAAAGCACACTGTCGCTTTTCATACTGAAAATGTGTTAATTTGAAGCAAAGGTCGATATAGAGAAAAGTTCAAAAGAACCATCAAGGTGTGCAAATTTTGGGTTACGCTTCGAATTTTATGAGATTAAAACATGTTATTAGGTGCAGTTATGAAGAAAATTCATTTTATTTCGGAATTCGAATTCGATACTTTGTTTCATCGGCCAACGCAAAATATTTCTACTGAAAAATGATATCAGTTTGCGTGTGTCTTTGTAATGATTTCTTTCGTTTCGTTCGTCTTGTTCCAACGTTATAGTGCCTAGGGGGTAGACACAATAGAGAATGAATGAATACCAATGAATTGTCATAATACCTATCTATTTTCAAATATGACAATTACTTACTTATTTAAAGATTACTTGTACTAAAAATGTGAATACCGTGATTACCAAATGTCAAATTGATATCGGTAATAAAGATTTCAAGTTTCTTCCATTTCGTTTTAACATTCACCATTTCGAAATTTATTTTAATTTTTTCCGTTTTCTTTCTGCTATTTTTATCAAAATTGTTTTTGTATTTATTAAACCAATTGAAATACTACACTTAATAGCGTTGAAAAAGTTTTTTTAATATTTGGAAGATAATATTCATATATGCACATTGTGAGACGTTGCTGAATGCATTGACATTTCGTCTAAAACTGAGAATACCAAGAATACCAAGAGTACCTTCAATTTCGGTGAATATCTCAAGTAATATTCCATGTGTCTACCCCCTAATATAGTGCTTAGTTTTTCACATTGAAAATGTGATGTAAGTGCGACGATAGCTGATGTGATTCGCGTCAATGTGTGATAGTTTCAGTGCTGTAGTCATGCTGCCACAGCTACTGCTGTTTGCTTTTCCATATTTTCGTCTTTTATGGATTTTAAATGTAAATCATCGTTCGTTCTCGCATTACGTGTGTTGGCTGACTGGCTGTGGCAGCATTGTGTGCATGTAAAAGCATGTGTGTGTGTGAATGTGAGTGGATGGTTTGAAATAGAATTCTATTGTTGTTCCACCACGACGAGCACTTTCTGGTACAAAAGTAAACGGGACAAAAAAGACAAAAGATCCATACATATTATTTTTTTCAATCAAAAATAAAAATATGCTCTTTGTATACAAAACAGAACATTGTTAGCTCAGCTGTGGCTGTACCAAATCAACAAAATATGAGGAATATAAAAAGAGATCCATTTAGTGTCACTCAATTAGACCCAAACATGTTGTTTCACTTGATTACGAAGTGATTAGCAGTCGTTAACTTGAGCTATGATTACTTGGCATGATTTGGGTCGCATTTTGACTCAATGCCAACGACGGAAAGGTCCAATGTATTGACATGCACCTGAAGAAAATATAGAGCATCATGTGCAGATTTGTGCAAAAATTAGAGAAAAATCAAAGTCTCCATGAAAATCGATCGGCCATTGGTCGAGAGCCGCATTCAATTAAAAGTTCTTTTAAAACAAACGACTAATTTTGTACATTAATTACAACGTTCATTACTGAAGGCTAATATGCTCTGTGTTCACTCTTATCTATGTCTATATTTCTTTTTCTTGGCACCGTAATGCTTGATATTACCATGTCTTTGTCTTCGATGCTTCTGAATGTATTTGTTTTGTGATATTTAATACGTATGATACGTGTTTGACACAATGTTTCTGTGCATCGTAAATTTCAAACTCTTGTTTATGAAATTATTATTCATGCGTTTCATGTTCTTCGTCTCTATGCTGTTTTATGTGTGTGTGTTTTTGTCCCTCTCAAGTTGTTGTGATTTGCATTGCACGAATTAGAGTCATAACAACATAGACTGTAATAGATCACTACGCGAAACGTTCGATTCAGTTCAGTTGAATTGAACTCCATGGCAATTCCACAACAATTTCGCATTCAATTACGTCGATGTTGACGTGTCAGCTGTGTGTGATGCTGTGCCACAGATGAAGGAAAAACAAACCGAACAAGACTTGCAGCTGCTCACTTCATTTGCAAAGTGCAATTGCTGTGCACAAAAACCAAACGGGAATAAACAAATCGACGAATGTATATATGTATGTACATAACATAGCTGTTGTGCATAATCATAATCATGCTTCTACTGCATTACATCTTATAGTGTGTCATGAAATGCAGCATTGTATTCACTCATACAATCAGTCACGGCGCGTTGTATGTCATGCTTATGTGCTTCTCTCGTTGTTCTATGTGAAAATGCATCGAATAGAGCAATTTTGATTCGATTTTGATTCGGTCACATTGCATGTGAAGCGAATTTTTGCGCTGCTTTCGCATTGGATTTGTCAACATTTCCCTTGCAAACGCCTGTTCGTTCGTTCGTAAGCATGAACTATGAATATTTGACAGCAGACAATATATTTAGCTGTCGTCATCTGGATATTAAAGCTCATCTGGATATCGTCAGCAGATGATACGAAGTGAAAACAATAGAAGTGATTGTTATAGGTATATACTGGTATTACTATAACAATCACTCCTATTGTTTTCACTTCGCATCATCTGCTGACGGCATCCAGATGAGCTGAAATATCCAGATGACGGCAGCTAAATATATTGTCTGTTTGACAGGCATTGAAACTTCTGTATTTCTTTTTTCTTCTTCATCGTTTGCAATGTTTCTACATTTGGTTTGTGACGAGCACATTTTTTGTGGCCTTTGTTCTCTCTCTATCGCTCGATGTGTGTGTATATATATGTACTCATTTCGTTTGTCGTGCTCTATTTTCCAATATACATGTCGTGAAATTGCTGAATTTTATTATTTCATTTTCAATTTTGCACACGCACCCAAAACACAGACAATGTGTTTATTGCCACGTTTTCATATACAAACCGATTGAAAGATATATTTTTTGGTTTGTATTTATATATGATCTCAACCTGTATTATATTCCTGTTGGGGATTATTTCGCCAAGTTTCTAAGAAAACATGTGTATATTGTACGTCGTACACACAATTTAATCTAAATATACTGATACCTCATGTGCAAATGAACGATATGTGTTGTGCGATACATTCGTATGCATGCTCACTATAATTTCAACAAATTTTATTTACATTTTAATTTGTCGATTTGTTACGACGAAAAAAGACGACTGTGAATTTGTTTGATGTTCAAACCATGATGATGAAATTCAAAGGCGGAAAGCAATTTTCGCCTTGGCACTCACAACTCCTCGCGTCGAACCGTTCATACTTATATATAAACAATTCATTCATTTTGCAGATTGCTTTTTTTTGATTGAATGTTTGTTAAACAATTTACCCAGCACTTTACTATTTTGGCCAATACAGAACGTCAACACACAATTGCGCACTTCTTGAATCCATCAGACATGGCAATTGTTTATGCAAATAAATATACGCATAAGAATTAAATGAGACTCTTTGTTCCTGATTTGCCACTTTTTTGCGCTCTTTCTTGCTCTGTCTCTCGATTCCTCTCTCTGTCTCGCTCTGTAATTCTCGATTTCGATTGATATGACTCAAAGTTTTCATAATAGCATTGGCTTTAATTTTGGTTAATAGCCATTGTTCTCAATTTCTCGGTCAAACTGATTAAGTATTCGACCCGAGTAAACATCACAAGTTTCATTTCAATCTAGCAAAAAAAGAGCACAGTCAATTCGATTGACGAAAAAGGCACAAAAAGTCAGTTTATCGGTGGGTCAATTTCGAAACAAATCTTTTGCGATTATTAATTGAAATAAGTGACTGTCCAGTGTTTGTAATTTGCCATGTTTTTGTGTATGTGCGCGCTCATGAGAATTCTAAAAAATTATTAATGAATTTCATTCAGACGAGACATGAACTGTCTTAAAAAAAAATTCTCTCAACAGCAGTTATGTTCAAATGTATACTATTTTTACTATCATGGGAAAAACTACTGCATGGTGATTCATATAATGTAATCTAGTGCAAAAATATTCCTAATGGTATCACCATTGTACTCAGGCTTCATTTCATTATTTCTTAATACCTTTTACCTAATAATGCGACGAAATTTGCTAACACCGCATACATTGTGATCAGGTTGTTTCGAATTCATGGCCATAATGATGTGCTACCATCATATATATCTTGAAACTTTGTTTGTTCGCTTTTCGGGAAATGAAAAACATTCTTTTTGGGATGCAATTCAGAATATTACGATTTTTTTCGTAACGTTAAACTATAGTTTAATCAATCAAACGTGAAATGTTTTTGGTTAATAAAATCGGTAGTAGCGTAGAGTTTTTTAGACACCATAGGCAATTTCGGTCAAAAATCGATAATAATCATATAGGAGAATCGTATTCCATTGAATTTCTGTGAGTTTCAAAAATTCAAATTCCACGTGTCCGCCCTCTAGAGCATGCATGAGAAAAAATTGTTTTCAGTTCAAAAATTTATCTAGCAAAAAATAAAATGCCAACCGACAACAAACAGCAACCACAATAAAAACCGAAAAAAAATAAATCAGCGGAACTAGAGCGTATATTAGATGTGGTGAATGTGAACACTTTGAAGTCGAATACACACGCGCACTACATAAGCTTTTGAGAGAAAAACTGTAGCGTATGGTGTTTATCTCCGCAATACTCGAATGATGTTGTTAAATTACGAGTTAATTTGTCGAAATCTGATGCGATGCGAGAGTATTGTTATTGTATCTTTTCATTTACATGTGTAAACTCGCTTTTTTGTGTTCAATAAAAATTTCGCTTCTGTCTTTTGATATTTTCGAACAATTTAACGAATGCAAAGCCACATTTAAAAAAATTCCACGCATTTAATTTTGTAATAACAAGACTCGGTATGTGTGTGTGTGTGTGTGTGTGTGTGATTGAGTTTAATCGGTCGAAATTTTCGAAATGATTGCAAGAGATATTTCAATTTATGTAGTGTGATTGCGAAAATTGCTTTTAATACGTCAATTGATTGATGCGTATGGCGCATCGCGTAATAAATGCTTAAAACGTGAATTGAATTCAATAAATAGTAATGATTTGTTTTGGTCTCTTTTACAGTGTGGTTTGAATAAAATTTTTAATGGAATCCTAGATTAAACAATCACTAGACTGTTGTTATTTTTCATAAAAAATAACAAATACTTTTGCAGAATAATGAAGAGCATACCAATCAGCGAAAACAATGCAGGTCAAAGCAATAATCGTAAAGGCCATAGGTATGTACATATATTAGTGCAATAAATGTTTTACAGTTTTAGATTTCGTCATTTGTTCACTGCAATGTGTGAACAAACAATTATAATTATTAAATTGAATTAATTGACATTCTCAAAACTCCTACGTATTTGTTTCATTTCACTTTTTCTCCAATGCGTACAGAAGGCAAGAGTCACATTATACGATGACCGGCTTGTATTCGGACAATATTGACGACAATAGTAGCATCGATGTGCCAGGCGATTCGGAGAATTCGGAGAATGGTAGCCAAATCGGTAGCACGAATATGACCGATGGAAATGTCGTGCCTAATTATGTACCCGATACAGTGATCAAATGTCACAGCAGACAACCGTCGGCCGGTATTATTGATCAACAACGCGACAAAACAACAGATTCCAACGACGATGCTGAAATGAGTGTCGATTGTGGCATACTCACGTGTCGACCAAAATCATTTCAAAAATTTGCACGTATCAAAGTACGTTACATTAAATTCATTACTTGTTCGTCCTGATTAAAAATAGTCAATTGACGTTGTAACAAATGTTTCTCTCTGCTTTTCATTGTAGATTTTCGTATTATTGCTATCGATGCTAGTGACACTGCAACAAGCACTTAGTTCCGGTTATATCAATTCGGTCATAACGACCATTGAAAAACGCTTCGAAATACCATCGAGCTACTCGGGACTGATAGCATCAAGCTACGAAATTGGAAATGTGATAACAGTCATTTTTGTTAGCTATTTAGGAAGTCGACGACATATACCTGTTTGGATTGGAATCGGTAAGTTTGTTTTTTAAGAGGCAAGAATTTTAATGAACTCTATAGAAGAGCGGCGATACGAGTGTTTTTGCCATAAATATGGTTCTTCTTTTTAGTGTTTGCGATATTTCATGCAAACGCCTTCTTTATTGATATTCGAAATGGTCTCCGTTTTATATGTCCGATACAAATACATTTTATAACTTTTATTAATTGTTTCTCCTCTTTTTCATCTTGATGCAGGCGCGATTGTGATGGCAATAGGTTCATTAATATTTATGGTGCCTCATTTTAGCGGAGACGCTAACCCTAGCATTAGTTTAGCAGATAATAGTACAGACAATATTTGTCGCACTGTTCCGTACCAAGGTTCATTGGTGGATCGTTTATCGAACTCACCATTGTCACAACACAATAATCTACGCGAAGACAATTGCCTGAAAGTAAAATCATCGACATTTGGACCGGTGTTTTTGTTTGTCATCGCGCAAATACTATTAGGCAGTGGCGGAAGGTAAAAAAATTATTTTTATTTTTGTGTTTTTTTCTTCATTTTTTTCATATATTTGAATGAACATTTGTGTTTTTTTAGTCCGCTGTTTACATTAGGTACAACATATGTAGATGATCATGTTCGAACTGAAAGTGCATCGATTTACATTGGATTCATGTACAGTATGGCTGCATTCGGACCTGTGCTTGGTTTCTTGCTTGGCGCCTATTTACTGTCATTTAACATGGATGCGTTCACGGCCGAAGCTATTTCAATAAGTATGTCTTCAAAATCGAGTAAAGTTTTTCTTCTTTTTCTGACTGGATTTGTAATGTATTTCCCAATAATTTCAGATCCCGGCGATCGTCGTTGGATTGGAATGTGGTGGGGTGGATTTTTGCTGTGTGGTTTACTGCTGTTAATTGTTGCCATTCCGTTCTTTTCATTTCCAAAAGTGCTTACGCGTGAGAAGAAAAAATTACGTAGTCTCGAAGAGCAAAATCTCAAACCGACCGGTGGCGGTAACAGCAATAGTTTACCACGACAACAACAAGCACCAACCCTACCAAATAATGCAACATCACAAAATGCAGCCGCTACACTCACAAAGTCATCGTCAACGTCAAAAGTTGACAGTGGCTATGGAAAAGATATCAAAGACATTCCATTGTCCATGTGGCGATTGGTGTCAAATCCAATTTATACTGTTACTTGTCTTGGAGCCTGTATGGAACTCATGATTGTATCCGGTTTCATAGTTTTTCTTCCGAAATATTTGGAAACACAGTTTAGCCTTGGTAAAAGTCAAGCAAGCGTGTTTACCGGTGAGCAAAAAGAAAACGACACTTATTTTCATTACTTTTGTCTAAGCATTGCGGTTCTATTTCGAATAGGTTCAATTGCCATACCGGGAGCTTGTTTGGGCATTTTTCTCGGTGGATGCTTCCTCAAACGATTTGAATTAAAACCGAAGGGTGCCGTTCAATTTGTTTTAATTTCAAATATTATTTGCTTGTGCTGTTATGGTCTACTATTCTTTTTGGGATGCGACAACCTCAAAATGGCTGGTACAACCACTTCGTATTACAATGTGTAAGAAATTGAAGCTCTTTGACTCTTTTTTTGACTCTTGTAAATTGAAAATAATCATCAATTTTATAAATTTCAGCACTCAGGAACCGTTCACCGTTAATCTAACCGCAGAGTGTAATTTTGGATGCGAGTGTCACATGAGCGAAGTGGAACCAGGTATTAAAATTTAATTATTATTTTTAAAAAAGTCAATTAATTTATATGATTTAAAATAAAAATGACTTTCTTTTCTTTTCCAAGTTTGTGGTAACAATGGATTGACGTATTTCTCACCGTGTCATGCCGGTAAAAACTAAATTATAAATTTATAAACTTTGGTGTATTTCAAGTTCGATATATTCATTTCATATAGGTTGTACGGCTTTTTCGAGTGAAAACTATACGAACTGTGCTTGCGTACGATCGCATCATCCGAAGAGCGTGTACAAAGGTGCTGGAGGCAGTGAAGCGCAAGCATCAATTGCAAATGATGGCTACCCCGACGTTACAGTGGTACCAGTTGCTTCAGTTGGTCCATGTCTATCGCCATGCGGAACGATCTATCCATTCTTGATTCTGTTGTTTTTTATGACATTCATTGTTGCTTCGACGCAAATGCCTTTACTTATGATTGTCTTGAGGTAAATATAGGAATCGGATCCATTAGGAAACAGTGGTTCTCAACTCAGTGAGCGATAATTGAAAATTGCATATCGTGCAGCACCTTTTGAGGTCATAAGGTGGACTTAAGAGAAAATTAGAGTGCGTAGCGAACCGATTTTTTTGACATAGACATGTCTGAGGCCTACTCTTTAAGGCTCTCTAGGTCCGGGAGCTACCAGTTGGGAACCACTGCATTAGTACAATGTATGACTTAAATTGCCATTTTCAATGTTATTCGATTTTCAGATCGGTGTCCGAAGAGGAGAGATCGTTCGCGTTGGGTATGCAGTTTGTGATTTTCCGTTTATTTGGCTACATTCCGGCTCCAATTTTATTTGGTAAGTCTTATCAATTTATTGTATTTAAAAAATGAACAATTATTGATGGTTATTTCTTTACAATAGGAAATTTAATTGATTCAACGTGCATTTTGTGGAAGTCGACGTGCGGCGAAAAAGGTGGTCGTTGTCTTATCTACAATATCGAAACATTTAGATACAAGTGAGTCAACAAAATTTTCCACATGTTTATCGATTTTAATGGTTCTTTCCTTTTTCAAATAGATATGTTGGACTTTGCGCTATTATCAAGTTAGTGGCATTAGCAATATTCGCTGTAGATTGGTGGTTGGTACGACGACGAAAGCAGTTGGAATATACAACACCAATATCGGCAACGGCTGGAGTTGGATCCATAATTAGTTTAGATAAATGTAAATTTACAATTTGAATGTGATGAAATAGTTTTGAATTTGGTCTGATTTTCAATTAATTTCAGTGTTTATGGAAAAAGGTGTAATCGAGAACCAAGCCACTTCATATGCCAATGACATGATATCAGATGAATGTTCACTTCACGATGTACCCTCTTACGATATCAATAACAAAAAGGTTTTGATAGCATCCCGTCATACACGAAACGATTCCAAAGGAATTCAACTTGAGTTTCGGTAATTTTAAACCATTTCATGACATAAATTTGTTTTGTCGCAAAAAAAGAAATCTAATCGACATTATTTGTTCTACTTACAGCTATGACGGTTATGCTGATAACAATCCGGAAAATATCAAGAAACGCAAACATATCCGCAGCAATTCGTGTGATGTGAAAATAGGTCGTAGTAATTCACGTGAATACGATGGAGAGCATCGCAATCGACGATTATTCCAAAAACGTGGTCATGCTCGTAATTATTCACACGATTTGGACTTTGATAATAATCGTCACAAACGTCATCCAACTCATTCGCGCACTAGTTCACGTGATGAACCAATGAATATCAAATATATTTTGAATTGTTTAAAACCAGATGCGTCAGCCAATCGCCTACTAATGTCATCGGCAGCTTTGATGGCAACAGCGGCCGCCGCCGAACATGGCGCAGCACGTGCCGTTCGAAAGCATTGCCGAAATCATTCGTACGATCAAATTTATAGTATGCCAAATAATATTAAAATTGATCAAGAACTTTACAATCGTTTCAATAAAAATCGAACATCAGAAGCGGCCGCGTCAGCGCCAATGATTGAAAATGATTTGAACGTTGCTAAAGTGACAAATGTCACTGCCAACAATAAAGAATACTTGGAGAGTAAAATGTTGAGCAAATGTGATGTTGGACTACCACCCAAGGGCAATTCACATTCACGTACCAATTCAAAGGATCTGAACAAGGGTAGCTTTCTGTCATCGCTGGTCGATGATGCTGCCAATATACTGCGACATCGTCGAACTAATTCGAAAGACTTAAATCGCATCCTAAACCCAATTCCATCAACATCCGAAGCCGGAGCAAGTGAATCCCAACAACAAGCCGCCACAACAACAGCAGCAGCAGCAGCAGCAGCAGCAGCAGCAGCAGCAGCAGTGCAGTCACAGTTTCACAAACGTAATGTCTCGTTATCGAGAAACGATTTGGCCGAAGAGCATGCATTTGATGTGGCGCAAGTACTTTTACTAGGCAATAATGAAAATAGTGATATACAGACAAACCGAAGAGATAACGAATGAATCTGATATGATGATACAAAGTCGAGCAAATGGATTCGTACACTTGTTCAACCATTTCGCTCGCGAATGATGCCCGAATTTAAAACTAAATGAATTCGCATATGAATTTATACATATTAGTCGTAATTTAGATGAGAAATATTCCTTTAGGTCAATTTATCGATCGCATTCATAATAATCTCAGCCAGAGCAAAGCGAACGATTTAAGCGTTTCTCTTCGAGAAACCCAAATGTTTTTTTTTACTATATATTTAATTAATCGAAATACAATTCCCAAATATCACCAATATGGGAATAAAATGATGATTCGTCTCGGATTTCATATAATTTTCAAGTGCCGCACCTGAATAGAAGAGCAGCACTTACAAGAATAGTGGCCGAACCTTCGTGGTGCCTATAACAGCTCTGGATATCGGAGATAAACCATTATTTCATTTTCATTTGAGACCAAGTTTGGAAACGGTATTTTTTTCCTTCTACCATATAGAATTTATTTTACTGTCAATAATAATGTCATGCACTCAATGGATGCTCAGTTTTCTATAGACTTTTCTGTTTTCAACGAACACATTCGTTTCATTCATGTAGTAGCATTGACTTTTTCTAATTTTCTTTTCTTGCATTGCCAAATTTGATTTGGTTTTTGACTACGGACCGCCAAATCGTTCTGGCACCAAATATATGACAACAACGGAACAAACAAACATTCAACACATTAGAATATATATAATTGAGAGCAATTTTTGGTGATCTCCGTTGATGAATCAATTAAAAAATATGCTTTTTTTGCAACAAATTGCGAGAACTCACCACTGCCTTTACTAGTTTCAAAAAAAAGTCGTAGTTGCGCAGCAAAACCCATCATCAATAGAAAAAAAAGAAAAATCGAAAATATCGTGCTGCGAAAACCCAAAACGACATCAAATCATTTCGAAAATCCAAACAACGACAAGTAATAGCAAAACATTGTGTCCACTTCAGTTGTGTCTTTTTTCTCTCCCGTCTATTTTGTGTTTTGTTCGAACGATAAAGAGATCTATGCAAATGTTTTAAAATAAAACAAAAAACAAAAATAACAAATCTATTTACACGGTTATATATTATTATTATTTGTAAGAAAATGAAATGAAGAGAATGAAAAGTGTCAATTTATCAACAAAAAAAAAAAATTGTAAAAAAAATTATAACAAGATGTGCTGTGAATTTTAGAGGGACAATTTATTGAAATGTGTGTGGAATGTGACGCAGACAGAAAATGAAAATAAAACATAAAAGAAACAATTACTGATTTTGATTCCGAAATTATATTATTTTTGAATTTAAAGAAAAAAGTTGTAAAAAATTTCTAGCAAATAGCACACAATGATTAATCAAAATTTATGCAAAATCAATCCATTTTAGATACTATAAGACATTTAGGGGGGTTTATTTTTTCATTCAACATTTTTCTTTTGGGAATATCTAAAATTTATACGAAAACATTCGGAGTTATCATTTTGGAGAAAAAAAATGTTTGAATTATTTTTCGGCATCATATCGAATCGAAAATTTTCTGTTTCCTTCCATAAAGTGGCAAATTGTCCCAACACTCATGGTGTAGAAAATAAAGTTGTGAGTGATAATAAATTTCGTTCTTTTACGTAGGTTGCTCCATAATTTTTTTTAAAATGGTACTTATAGTGTTGCCCGATGTAAACCATTGTCATATTCGTAAAGTTTGATGTTTTGGTATGTATTCGTGCCCTGAACCTTTTGTCGTACGAACGCTATTTGTATTGTTTACAGTGACTGGTAAACTGCGACTCAACAAAAAAATGAATTTTACACGTGAAGATTTTCGTAAAATGATTTACTACGATTTTCGAAGTAAATTATCTCAACAACAGTGTTTCGATCGACTTCATTTGGCCTTTGGCAATGAAGCACCAACCCTTCAGACAATTTATAACTGGTACCGAGAATTCCATTGCGGTCGTAGTTCGCTCAAAGACGAGTTTCATACAGGTCGTCCAAAATCGGCTGTTGTGCCACAAAACATCGATGCTGTCAGAAAACTGATTATGGAAGATCGTCATGTGACCTACCGTGAGATTGAGGCATCTTTGGGCATTTCATCCCACAGCATACATACAATTTTGCATGAACATTTAGCCGTAAAAAAGATTTGCTCTCGTTGGATCCCACATAAATTGACCGATGAACAAAAAATGGCTCGTGTGAGTTGGTGTAAAGAAATGCTCAAGAAATTCAATCGTGGTGCTTCAAAAGACGTTAATAAAATCGTCACTGGTG